TAAACTACAGGAGTTGGTGATGGACAGGGAGGTCTGGTGTGCTGCAGTCCATGGGGTTACAAAGAGTTGGACACAACAGAATGACTGAACTGAACCGAACTGAACCACTGCCTCACCCCACAAAGTCATCACCCAGCAGTCTCTTCCAGTGACAAGCTGAAAGATTGTATCTAACAGCATCCTTGAAGCAGTGAGGAAAATTAAAGAACATTATTGGGGAACAAAAACCAAACAACAAGAACACTGGATATTCAAGGAGCAAGGACAAAGAAAGAATTAACTAAAAATCCCATAACATTAAAAAAGGAAATGAACATGAAACACGCAAGAGGTAGAGAAAAAGCATATTTTAGGAGATTTACTACAGAAAACAAAATGTAATTCTTAGCCCATACTGACTTCTCTCAATGAAATAAAATCAAAGTGTTCTTTCAGAAACAATAGAAGCAAAATTGAAGTAATAAGAAAAGATAGTTATAAAGAAAGGCCAGAAGGGTTAAAAAAAATGTGAGTGGAAATTGACATGGCAAAAATAAAAACCAGATTTGCAGAACGTCAAGAAATAGGATGAGGGTAATCCAAGCTCTTCAGTAGCCTTGAGTGAAAGGTTAAGGTCAAGGGTTGTCAAAATAAGCGAAAGCTTTAACATGGTAGAAGCGAGTATCAGTCACATAACCCATATTTCAACGAGCTTTTTAAGGATACATCATAAACTACTAACCCATAGTGGGTCATCAATAATCTAGTTATAATTCTCACTTGGCTTTTATTTCTTTAATTTAATTTTATTACTTTTTAAAAATATTTATTTATTTAGGATGTGCTGGGTCTCTGTTTCAGGCTTCTTTAGTTGTGATGCACGAGCTGCTCTAGCTGTGACCTCCCGACTTATTTGCCCCACGGCACTTGAGATCTTAGTTCACCGACCAAGGATCGGACCTGCATCCCTGCATTGGGAAGCAGATTCTTTACCACTGGGATCACCAGGGAAGTCCCCTTAGAGCAGTTTATGCGTTTAGATATAATCATCTATGAAAAAGAATTTCTTTTTTTTTTTTTTTTTGAGAAAGCACAACTGCAGAGCAGGACAGGAGATTTCTATTTTCGTATCCCAGTTGCAACCCCTCTAACAGTCACTGCCTTCTTCCACAGGATTCTGTTGGGGTGGTGATAATCTGTCTTCACTTACTGCAGGGGCAAGTGTAGCAGAGGACAACCCCACCCTCCTGCCCTGTGGTCAACCTCTCATAACTAAATGAGTAACAAAGTTTCGCAATCTCCCTCAGGGAAATCTCAGTGTCTGCTCAGTTTCAACTTCAATCTGTAGGAGATGACTTGAGGAGGAATTCAACAACAGTAATTTGCTCTCATGTCTCAACAAATTCCCTTGTTATTTAGACCGTCTCCCCTAAATAACATTTTTTGGACCCAAATTGTAATTCTAAACTTCAAACAAAAGCTTTTAGTGTCACTCAGATAATATAACAGGCACGTAAATACATCTCAGAAATGGAAACGTCTCTCTTGTAAAGTCCAGAGCTAAACACTTGATAACTTAGAAAGGGGAGCTTGGCTTCACTGATGGGACTCAGATAGTGCCTTAGGGGTATTAGTATTCACTTAGCAGCGAGTGGGGAATGCCTTTTGTAGATGATGAAGGGAATCAATGTTATTTTGCCTGTAAACTAAGCCGCCTCATGATTTCTGTTAAAACCTCCTGGGATTTATAACAAATTTTTATTTCTTTTCCAACTGAAAGGGATTTGTATGTTATACAAATAGACCTCCACATGATTTTTCTCTCCTTTTCAATCTTGTTTATCTTCCTCCTTCTCACACCACCCAGAATTTGTAAGCAGTCAATTTAGAAAATAATGGTTTTAGTGCGTCTTGACATTGGATCCTTTCTCATTTTTTTAAGTATTTCCACTATTAGTATTGGAAGGATTTTTAGTCATTTATCTACATACACATGCTGGCTTAATTTAAAACCATCCAGCACATCTAAAGCCGCTAATCAGATTGTCAGAGGAAGTCAGATGCAAGCCCAGTCATTTATCCCCAGCACTCAGAAATTAGCATTTCCTGCCTACACTTCCTCTTTCTAACCAGCCCTGGGGAGCCCAGAGGAGCTGGGGGCCCAGAGAGGAGCTAGGCGGGAGCAGGGTTATGTGTGAATTTGAGTCCTTTGTGCTGGGGCTAAGGAGCGGCAACGATCCCCTCACCTGGTGCTCATCACCACAATGACTGCCCGGTGGACTCAAAAAGAACTTTAAAAATCAGGAGAAGGAAACCATAAAAAGACCACACACACATCGGAGCACATTAAAGCTCATTCTACCAATATTCAAAAAACACAGCATAATTTGTTTTAATAAATCCCTGTAGAATCCTTTAAAATTTGCTATCAGTACCTTTTCCTATCTCTCTAAATGACAGAGGAACCTGGCAGGCTACAATCCATGGGGTCGCAGAGTTGGACACGACTCAGTGACTAACTTTCAATTTCACCCCTCTAAAAACACAAATATATGTATATATATACATACACATGTGTATATGTATATATATATATATATATATATATATATATAGTTGCTCAGTTGTGTTCAACTCTGCGACTCTTTGGACTGTAGCCGGCGAGGTTCCTCTGTCCATGGGATTTCCCAGGCAAGAATAGTGGAATGGATTGCCATTTCCTAAAAAAATAACACGCACACAAACCAACCAATAGAAGCAATTCTATTATATATGCCACTTTGTACATTTGATAAACACAAATTTTATCTAATATTACTAGATGGATTATCAGGTCAAATGACCTCAGGCAGATTAACAGACAGGTGACCAGATGTCACAATGCCCCAAGTCCATCTTGAGTGAGGGCAGCTCTGGTGTCCAGGCCTCTATTTCATTCCCACACCCTGAGCCCCAGGATCTAAACTCCTGTCTGCGGCAGCCCCTGAACCCCAAGATCCCAGGCTAGGGTTCTGGCTTTGCTTGTCAGACCCGTGCATGACAGACAAGAAGAGGAATCTAATGACTTGCTAAAAAATAAATAGAAGAACAAAAGAATGCATGAATGCAGTCTCCCTCCTAAGCCCCAGGCCTGGAGTTGCTAACAGATTTCCTTTCTGCCCGGTTGTCTAGTGCTTGGCCTGTTCCAAGACTCACCTCCTTGTGGTGTCTCTAGTGTACTGACAGTGCAGAGTCTTCGACAGAAAGAGCCTTTTCTAGTTCAGTTCAACCAACCTTACTGCAAGCAAATAATTTCTTGGGTCAATTTTTTTTTTTTTAGTGGAGGTTTGTGTGGTGAAACTATTGGAAAGTCCTGGACTTAAGGATGAATTCAAAAGTTAAAGTGAAAGAAACAAATCTAATAAGGAGTTAAATTTATTCTTCCCTATTACATGAACAGGGACAAGTTTCTCACCTTCTCTAAGCTACTTTCTTGATGTGCATTCGTGCTAAGTCACTTCAGTCATGTCCAACTCTGTGCGACAATATGAACTGTAGCCCAGCAGGCTGCTCTGTCTGTGGGATTCTCCAGGCAAGAATACTGGAGTGGGTTGCTATTTCCTTCTTCAGGGATCTTCCCAACCCAAGGATCGAACCTGCATCTCTTATGTCTCCTGCAGTGGTAGGCAGGTTCTCTACCACTAGCACCACCTGGGAAGCCCACTTTTTTGATAGTTAACTTTTTTTTTTAATGTACCGCATGGCATGTGGGATCTGGTTTCCCGACTTGGGATCAAACCTGCATCCCCTGCATTGGAAGCATGGAGTCTTAACCACTGGACCACCAGGGAAGTCCCCTCTAGTTACTTTTAAATGGTGTAGGGTGGAAATGTATAGATAAAAATTAAAGCAAATGTGACAAAATGTTAGCAATTGGTGGGTCTAGATTAAGAGTATATAGTACTTGTATGCTTTGTATTGTTCTATCAACATTTCCGTAGGTTAGACTTTTTTCAAAACAGAAAAATAAAGCTGAGAATATTGGTAGTGGTAAAGAGGGGTAATTAGTGGTAAAATAGAGCTAGTGGTAAAGAACCCGCCTGTCAATGCAGGAGACATAAGAGATACTTCTCTTATGAGAAGTGTTCTCTGGGGGTTCAATCTCTGGGGGGAAGATCCTTTGGAGGAAGGCATGGCAACCCACTCCAGTATTCTTTCCTGGAGAATCCCATAGACAGAGAAGCCTGGCAGGCTACCACCCATGGCATCACAAAGAATCACAGGCGACTGAAACAACAGTGCACACAACAGGGGAGGAGGCATGGTTGATTGTTGCAAAGTCTTGGTGTAGGAGTCCTTTGTTCCCACAGCTGTCCAGACAGATCAAGTATTAACAAGACAAACTGTTTTCTGTTCTGCAACTTTTCATCTCTATAGGAATGGAAAAGTGTTACACCCTTAAAGATCAGGGCCTTAAGAATGGGCTCTCCTGTGTATTTCAAGCTATAGGTGACATTCTTAACACAATAGAATACAAAGGTTAAGATAAAAGAAACAGATTTAATATGGAGTCAGATTTATTCTTCCCTATTACACGGACACGAACAAGATTCTTATTGTCTCTAAAGTATTTCTTGATAATTAAAAAACCAAACAAACAAGCTATGCCTTGCATCCTCCCTAAATATTTTCTGAACACCAGTCATGGTAACAGATATAAAGTGCTTTGCAAACAGCAGAGCCCTTCCTGGCACAAGGGGTCACCCACGTGATTATTTGGGCAGCACCAAGTGGTCTTAGATCACTTGGCCAACCCTCTTGCCTTTGGCTGTCTTAACTCCAGCCAATCTCTGCTGCCACAGCCACCTTAACATGCATATGCATGAGTGGCTTCCTGGCTTCTCTGCTCAGAGCATCACTGCAGACGCACAGACCTGGTCCTGAGAACTGGAGGGCAGAGCAACTCGCACAGCAGACTCCTGCCTGCCTGCTTCTCAGCGCCCTGCCCACCCCTCCTGATCCCTGGCCACCAGCTGGCTCCCATGAAACCACCGAAGGCATCCCAGCATTTTAGAAGCATTCGGAGAAACGCCAACCAGCACTACTTCTATCAGGAGTCCCTGCTGCTCAGGTGAGACGTCCCGCCCATCCACTGGGCAGTTAAGGCAGGTGTGTGAGGAGGAAAAGCCTGGGTCCCCCTAGCTTGCATCTCTCCAGAGGACCAAGTGCCCATCTTCCTGGGTTCTCCTTCAGAATAAGCTCAGAAACTCCTTTATCCAGGTCCTTATCTGTCAAGGAAGACAACCTCAGCCACGTGCACAGAGGGTAGTGTCTACCTGCTTCTGATCAGCATCAAAAAGCTTACACCCCAACCTGCCTTTATTGCTGGCCAAACCCACAGACGTGCTTTATCTGTTTTCTCTTCTCTTTACTCCATCAGCAATATCAAGAGAGCAGATGATACATCTGACATAATAAATGAGGTTTCTGTTGGAATATAGACTAGTTAGAAGTGGGGGAGTGTTACTTGAATTTGTTAAACACTTACAACGGTATATTAAAACCTCCATAAATTCGGAGAAGCTGGAGAAAATTCTCCTTGGAGTAAGTAAAAACGATCTGAATTAGAAAAAACAAAGGAATTATTTCCCCTTACCTTTAAGTGCTTCCTTGAAGAAATATCCATAGCACAATACTCTATCCCCTTCTGAAAAGTTGCTTTAGGGTACATATGTCCTTTTGAATTAAGCTCTGTATTAAGCACAGGAAGCTCAGCTCAGGTGCTCTGTGATGATCTAGAAGGGTGGATGGGCTGGGGTGAGGGACGGTCCAAGGGGAGGGGATATATGTTATACTTTAAGCTGATTCACTTCATTGTACAGCAGAAACTGTTACGGAGTCCAAGCTGACTCTGCTTGCCAAACGACAGGCCAATGAATCTGAGAGAGGAGGGGTTGAGGCAAGGAACAGATTTTTATTGGGGAGCCAGCTGTCAGAGAAGACGGCAGGCTAGCGCCTCAAAATAACCATCTTGTTAGGGCTTGGTTGCCAGGTCCTTTCCTCGATCAGAGATGGGGGGAAGTAAGTAAGCAAAAGTAAAAAGACTTCGGTCCTTACAGATATCCCCTAGAATGACAAGCCTCAGGCAGGGGGATGTGTTAGTTTCACTTCCTTGCAGTCCTTCACAGGTGGGCGGCTCAGGCAGGCCATTATGTATGTTTAATAACAAAAAAGGGTTAAAGTCACAGAAGCAGTTCCAACATAAATTCAAAATTAACCTTTCCCAGTTACAAAACTAACACAACATTGTAAAGCAATTATATTCCAATAGATAAGAAATAATATGTTACATTACGGAAAAAAATTTGCATTAGAATTAGTGTATTCATTTTCACTGGGAATAAATGTTGCTACACACTGGAAAGTTGTTCTCCTTAGAGAGTAACTAATACCCTGAAATATTTGCCTGTGAAAATTTGTTTAGCTAATCAGTTCATAGAAACAGCTGCCTGTTTCCCATCCTTATCTCAGATTTCAAATGAATCCAAGCAGGAGTGCAGAGAGGGGGGCTCTCTAGATGAGATAGTTTGGTTTTTATTTATTTTACATCCAAAGTTAGGGAGCAGGAAGAGTCCTTTCTTTGAAATTAAGCTGATTATTTCAGTTAGCCTGTAAAAGAAATTGTTTTGCCACCAAAGATGCTGCTCTTCAGGAATCCTACCTAAGTACTCTCTTGGTTCCTTTTACGACAGCTTCTGATAGCATCTTTTATCCTTCGAAGCTCTTGTCTTTTACTGACCCATCAAAGTTATAGAACCCAGTGAATGTGTTCCAGTGGCTGCTAATACTACTGGATTCTCTCTCCAATGCCCCAGATCCCTCTCCTCTTCTTCCACACACACTAGCTTCATACAAATGACCCCCAGAGAGCAAGAGGCTGAACTTACCCAGGCAAGATCTTGGCTGGAAGTAATTCTACTAATCTGATTTCCTCCTTAATGCTTTGATCCATTCAGCAACTTGGAGGACAGCTTTTCTGCCGATGAAACGGGGGACAGCCATGATCCAGAACAAATCTTCCAGAACATACAGTTCCAGAAAGATCTCATGGCAAACATTCGCTGTCGACCCTGGACCATGGGGCAGAAGCTGAGGGCGCTGAGGTAAGGGCCCCGACAACACCAATTGGTTATTGCAAGTGTAGGTGTGATAATCTGTTTCAGCCCTGATTGACTCTTTGTGACCCCAAGGACTGTAGCCCGCCAGGCTCCTCTGTCCATGGGATTCTCCAGGCAAGAACACTGGAGAGGGTTGCCAAGGCCTTCTCCAGAAATCAACTCTACTTCAAAAAAACACAAAAAGTCATGTAGGGACTTCACTGGTGGTCCAGTGGTTGGGACTTTGCCTTACAATGCAGAGGCTGTGGGTTCCTTTCCTGGTCAAGGAGTGAAGATCCCACTGCCTCAGGGCCAAAAAAACCCACAAAAACCCAAAACATAAAACAGAAGCAATATTGAAACATAATAATAATAAAGTCTTTAAAAATGGTCCACATCAAAAAAAAATCTAAGTCATGTATTCTATCAGAATTTTGAAAAGCATACAGAAACTCTGATGATTAATAATTATCTGAACTGTGAGAGTGAGTTTTTTTTAACCAGCAGGCAGAGCAAAGCAAATGATAACTTTTCAGTCAGGATTCAAGGAATGAACCAGGCCTTTCTCCATAAGTGTAGCCAGGGCTCTGAGACGCCGATACCAGGGAGGCCCAGGCCAGCCATCAAGCTCTCGGAGAATAGCTCACCCTTCAAGACCTGCATTTGTCATCCCCCATCACCTGTCTCCTCCCAGTCACCTTGAGAAACTACTGAAGCAATGGTCTAATAATTGGACATGCGGAGACTCACCAGGTCTGTGCAAGGCAGAGAGAGCAATGGACCCTGACTGCTCCGGGCTCAAGACAGTGTTGCTGAGGCAGAGAAAGCAGGGAACTCCAGCTTTGGGTCTGGACATACAGCCACCTGTCTGGGAGGACAGAGCATGTATCTGTTACCTGTAGAGAGGCTGGTCTGTGGTGGGGCCTGGGTTAGGAACTGTCCCCACTGCTGTTACTGACCAGGGTCCTTGGCATCCTTCAGTTCAGTTCAGTTCAGTTCAGTCACTCAGTCATATCTGACTGTTTGTGACTCCATGGACGGTAAAATGCCAGGCCTCCCTGTCCATCAGCAACTCCCAGAGTTTACCCAAATTCATGTCCATTGAGTCAGTGATGCCATCCAACCATCTCATCCTCTATCATCCCCTTCTCCTGCCTTCAATCTTTCCCAGCATCAGGGTCTTTTCCAGTGAGTCAGCTCTTTGCATAAGGTGGCCAAAGTATTGGAGTTTCAGCTTCAACATCAGTCCCTCCAATGAACACTCAGGATTGACGTTTGGGATGGACTGGATGGATCTCCTTATAGTCCGAGGGACTCTCAAGAGACTTCTCCAACACCACAGTTCAAAAGCATCAATTATTTGGCACCCAGATTTCTTTATAATCCAACTTTCACATCCATACATTACTACTGGAAAAACCATAGCCTTGACTAGACAGCTAATGTAATGTCTCTTTTTTAATATGCTATCTAGGTTGGTTATAACTTTCCTTCCAAGGAGTAAGCATCTTTTAATTTCATGGCTGCAGTCACCATCTGCAGTGACTTTGGAGCCCCCAAAATAAAGTCTGCCACCGTTTCTACATCTATTTGCCATGAAGTGATGAGACCAGATGCCATGATCTTAGTTTTCTAAATGTTGAGATTTAAGTCAACTTTTTCATTCTCCTCTTTCACTTTCATCAAGAGGCTCTTTGGTTCTTCTTCTCTTTCTGCCATAAGGGTGGTGTCATTTGTATATCTGAGGTTATTGATATTTCTCCTGGCAATCTTGATTCCAGCTTGTGCTTCATTCAGCCAGTGTTTCTCATGATGTACCCTGCATATAAGTTAAACAAGCAGGGTGACAATATACATCCTTGATGTACTCCTTTTCCTATTTGGAACCAGTCTCTTGTTCCACGTTCAGTTCTAACTCTTGCTTCCTGACCTGCATACAGGTTTCTCAAGAGGCAGGCCAGGTGGTCTGGTATTCCCATCTCTTTCTGAAGTTTCCACAGTTTATTGTGATCCACATAGTCAAAGGTTTTGGCATAGTCAATAAAGAAGAAATAGATGTTTTTCTGGAACTCTCTTGCTTTTTCAATGATCCAATGGATGTTAGCAATTGGATCTCTACTTCCTCTGCCTTTTCTAAATCCAGCTTGAACATTTGGAATTTCACGGTTCATGTACTGTTGAAGCCTGGCTTGGAGAATTTTGAGCATTACTTTGCTAGTGTGTGAGATGAGTGCAATTGTGCAGTAATTTAAACATTCTTTGGGATTGCCTTTCTTTGGGATTGGAATGAAAACTGACCTTTTCCAGTTCTGTGGCCACTGCTGAGTTTTCCCAATTTGCTGGCGTATTGAGTGCAGCACTTTCATATTGAGTGCTGCAAAAAATATAATCAATCTGATTTTGGTGTTGGCCATCTGGTGATGTCCATGTGTAGAGTCTTCTCTTGTGTTGTTGGAAGAGTGTTTGCTCTGACCTTTGTGTTCCCTTGGCAAAACTCTATTAACCTTTGCCCTGCTTCATTCCGTTCTCCAAGGCCAAATTTGCCTGTTACTCCAGGTGTTTCCTGACTTCCTACTTTTGCATTCCAGTCCCCTATAATGAAAAAGACATCTTTTTTGGGTGTTAGTTCTAAGAGGTCTTGTAGGTCTTCATAGAACTGTTCAACTTCAGCTTCTTCAGCATTACTGATCAGGGCATAGACTTGGATTAACATGATATTGAATGGTTTGCCTTGGAAATGAAGAGAGATCATTCTGTCATTTTTGAGATTGCATCCAAGTACTGCATTTCGGATTCTTTTGTTGACCATGATGGCTACTCCATTTCTTCTAAGGGATTCCTGCCCACAGTAGTAGATATAATGGTCATCTGAGTTAAATTCACCCATTCCAGTCCATTTTAGTTTGCTGATTCCTAAAATGTTGACATTCACTCTTGGCATCTCCTTTTTGATCACTTCCAATTTGCCTTGATTCATGGACCTGACATTCCAGGTTCCTATGTAATACTGCTCTTTACTGCATCGGACCTTGCTTCTATCACTAGTCACATCCACAACTGGGTGTTGGCCTCCTTAATCAACAGAATTTAACCAGAGGCCAGATAAGAAATTCAGGTGAGGCTCTATTGGGGTCCCTGCTGCAGCAGGGGAGAACAAGAACAGACAACAGATTCCCTTGTTTGCCAACTTGTTGAAGCGGGGGAGGGTACAAGTTTGCCTCTTTTATGCAGGGAGGGTAGGGTGTGTTCAGGGGTCAGGCCGGAGGGGTGGCTTAGGTGTCTGCCCACCTGAGGTGGTGCTGTGTGCAGGGGGCATGCACAGTACCCTGTTTTTGTCCCTAACTCTTTAGAAGTGACAGTTGGGATTTTGGTCTCTTTGTATCTCATTGTCCATAATTTGCCCCAACTGTGCATGCAAGCAGCTATTTTTAGTCCTTTATAGTTTCTTTGTATTTTGTTGCCTGGGAGGTGTGTCCAGGTGCACACACTATAGGAAACGGTCCCAGGACCCAGCCTGGCTCACTGCTGCCTCGGCCCCCTACTCAGTCCTTACGCACCCACCCTCTCCCACGGTTGCTTGAGGTCTCTGTCATCCTTATTAGCTAGTGGGTTATTCCAAGGGAACAACTGTATTTTATGCACCTCTGTGTTCCACTGTACTTGACCCAAACAGGTGTGCAGAAAGTTGCTTGCATGGAAAAATGTAATGAATGAATTGGGAGAATAGCATTGTCATATACACACTACCATGTGTCAAATAAACATCCAGTGGGAAGCTCCACTGCTGTAACACAGAGCTGAACTGGGGCTGGGTGCTCTGTGATGACCTAGAGGGGTTGGATGGGGGTGGGGAGGGAGGGACAAGAGGGAAGGGATATATGTATACATACAGTTGATTCACATCATCGAATAGCAGAAACTAACACAACACCATAAAGCAGCTATATCCCAATCAGAAAAGAAAAACTTGACCTAAAATTTTATAATGAGTGAATGAAATGAAATGAATTATTATTTCACTGATATAGGCCCTGTCTCTGTTGTTGTTATTCAGTCACCAAGTCGTGTTTGACGTGACTCATGGACTGCAGCATACCAGGCTCTTCTGTCCTCCGCTATCTCCTAGAGTTTGCTCAAATTTATGTCCATTGAATTGGTGATGCCATCTAACCATCTTATCCTCTGCTGGTCTCTTCTCCTTTGCCTTCAGTCTTTCCCAGCAACAGGGTCTTTTCCAGTGAGTCAGCTCTTCTCACCAGGTGGCCAAAGTATTGGAGCTTTAGCTTCAGCTTCAGCCCTTCTAATGAATATTCAGGTTTATTTCTTTTAGGATTGACTGGTTTGATCTAGGATTGACTGGAAAGATTGAGGGCAGGAGGGAAAGGGGGTGGCAGAGGATGAGTTGGTTTGATGGCATCACCGACTCAATGGACCTGAGTTTGAGGGACTCTGGGAGATAGTGGATTACAGGGGAGCCTGGCGTGCTGCAGTCCTTGGGGTCTCGAAGAGTCAAACACAACTTGGAGACTGAACAACAACTGGTTATCAAAAGTTAGGAAATGCAAGATTTGCATAAGCACATCTCTTCTCCACAGTTTGGCTATCTATTCCTACTACACATTCACACGTGTTGCCGAGATTACCAGGGTGATAAACTTGTGCTAACCACCATGTTTTATTTCCTCTCTCAGGCGAGCAAAGGACATTGTGCTGAAGTTTGAAGGGCGGTTGACCAGGACTCGAGGCTACCAAGCGGCCAGTGCAGAGGTAAAGAATACACACACGCAGGTGCCCACCCTTCCTCTGGTCCCCTAGCCCAGGCAGTTGTACTTAACCTTGAACTTGCTATACTACATGGGTTATAAACGTCCATCATTAATAGTTGTTGAACAGTATGGTAAGCTTGAAGGTCCGAGTTTCCCAAAACTTGCATTTGAAGTCCTGATGATGTCACTTAACAAATTGTGTGCCCCCAAGGAAGCCCAACTCATCAGCAAAAGGAGATCTTCCCTTGGAAGAATGATCTGGCCTCTTTCCCAAGTGAAGCCCACTTATGTATGTGGGTTTTCTTCACTAATGAGAAAGTTGCAGGCATATTCCAACACTCATTTTATAATACAGTGCTATATTATTGCTTGTTACTTTCCCCATCCAGTTACTTACAGTTTAACTTTGGTATACATTGAAAGTATCTATTAATAAAGACATTCCAATAATTTTCATAAATGCTTGAAAAGCAACAACAAAAAATATTTCTTCCACTATAATCCTCTACTTTCCATAGTATCTTTTGGTGGGGGATGAAGTAGAAAAGAATAACTTTTACTGCTTTGCTAGTATCTTTTTTTAAACTTCACATTTCAGTCATTGGATATACAGTTTTCACATCAGACTAATTATGTTGTTGCTGTTTACTCACTAACTCATGTCCAACAATTTGCAGCCCCATGGACTGTAGCCACCAGGCTCCTCTGTCCATGGAATTTCCCAGGCAAGAATATTGGAGTGGGTTGCCATTTCCTTCTCCAGGGGATCTTCCCAACTCAGGCGTTGAACCCACAGTTTCTGCATTGACAGGTGAATTCTTTACCATCTCAGCCACCAGGGAAGCCTCGGAGTGATTATAATATACAAATATTTTTTGTCTTGCTTTTTTTCCTTAACACCATAACAAGGATTTTTCTCCATGTTTCTATGTTTATTTTTCACCATGTTTTTATACTTATTGTTTTCTATGACTCTGTAATATTCCATCAGGAAGATGGATGTTAATTTAATTAGTTACTTGCCTGCTGGTGATATTTAAATAGCTTCTAATTTTTCATTAGTGTTAACAGACCTTCAAAGATTGTCTTTGTGCAGATGGCTTTTCCAGTCTTTTAAAAGTCTTTTTCTAGGATACATGTCAAAACTATGACCTCTGTAGAAAAAAAGATGATCCATGTTTTTTGGTTCTTGATAAATATTAATCAATTGTTTCTCCCGTTAATCAATTAATCAATTATTACCATCCACTATGAAGACAGCAGATTTTTTCATTCTGACACTTCGGTTCTTCCCCTCCTCATTCATAACATCATTCCTCTACCCCTTTTTTTTTTTTTCGGGGTTGACTTTATTTATTCTTATGTCTCATATGATAGTGATCAATGATTGTGTTTTTTTTATTGGAATATAATTGCTTTACAATGTTGTGTTAATTTCTGCTGTACAAGTAAGTGAATCAACGATATATATACATATAGCCTCTCCCACTCACCCTCATCCCTCCTCTCTAGGTCATCAAAGAGCACCAGGTTGAACTCCCTGTACTATACAACATCTTCTCATTAGCTATCTATTTTATGCATGGTAGTATATACATATATCAATCCCAATCTCCCAGTTTGTCCCACCCATCTCCCCCCACCATGTCCACATGTCCCTTCTCTATAAGTATGTCTATATATCTGCCCGGGAAATAGGTTCATCTGTACCATTTTTCTAGATTCCATACATATGCATTAGTATATGATATTTGTTTTTCTTTTTCTGACTTCAGTTCAGTTCCTTAGCTGTGTCTGACTCTTTGCAACCCCATGGATTTCAGCACGCCAGGCCTCCCTGTCCATCACCAACTCCCAGAGCTTGCTCAAACTCATGCCCATCAAGTCGGTGATGCCATCCAACCATCTCATCCTCTGTCATCCCCTTCTCCTCCTGCCTTCAATCTTTCCCAGCATCAGGGTCTTTTCCAGTGAGTCAGTTCTTCACATCAGGTGGCCAAAGTATTGGAGTTTCAGCTTCAGCATCAGTCCTTCCAATGAATATTCAGGACTGATTTCCTTTGGGATTGACTAGTCTGATCTCCTTGCAGTCCAAGGCACTCTCAAGAGTCTTCAACACTACATTTCAAAAGCATCAATTCTTCGGCACTCACCTTTCTTTATAGCCCAACTCTCACATCCATACATGACCACTGAAAAAACCATAGCTTTGAGTAGACAGACCTTTGTTGGCAAAGTAATGACTCTGCTTTTTAATATGTTGTCTAGGTTCATCACAGCTTTTCTTCCAAGGAGCAAGCATCTTTTAATTTCATGGCTTCAGTCACCATCTGCAGTCATTTTGGAGCTAGAAAAATAAAGCCTCTCACTGCTTCCACTGTTTCCCCATCTATTTGCCATGAAATGATGGGACCAGATGCCATGATCTTAGTTTTCTGAATGTTGAGTTTGAAGCCAACTTTTTCACTCTCCTCTTTCACTTTCATCAAGAGGCTCTTTAGTTCTTTGCTTTCTGCCATAAGGGTGGTGTCATCTGCATAGAGGTTATTGATATTTCTCCCGGCAATCTTGATTCCAGCTTGTACTTCATCCAGCCCAGCATTTCTCATGATGTACTCTGCATATAAGTTAAATAAGCAGGGTGACAAAATACAACCTTGACGTACTTTCTCTCTGACTTACTTCACTGTACATGATAGACTTTAGGTCCATCCATAGCTCTCCAAATGACCCAATTTTGTTCCTTTTTATGGCTGGGTAATATTCCATCTTACTTACATTATTGTACATTGTGCATACATTACATTTAGAATTAAATCCAGACTCCTTCCTCTGACCCAGCAGATCAGCCATTTCCTACCTTTTTGACCTTATCACATTCCTTTCTCCTTATTCTTTTCTGTAAAATGCCCAGCTCATGCTGACCCACAGACTTCTCCTGGCTATTCTCCCTTTTTAGGTAGCTCCTCTAAGGACTTATTATTTTTTGAACCATTGATTAACTTTCATTCACATCTCAGCTCAAGTATGACATCTCCAGATAGACCTTCCTTGACCCTTTGTTTCAAAGAGCTATGCCCCAGTTCTAATGAGTTGAATTCTTTGTTGTTTCCTCCCCTCTACTTGTATGCAAACTCCACACCAGCTGATACCTTGCATGTCTTGCTCATGATTTGTATCCAAGGTACTGGAAACACAACATAGGTGCTCAGTGCACACTCTGGATGGACAGATTGTTCATAAGCTATAATACATGTTGTTAGTACATATCTGCTCTCGATGATCTTAGAAGCCTTACCAAATCTCAATAACCCAGGCCTGAAATTAGGACCCATTTCTTCCTTGGTTTTGCTTTATTTTGTGTTCACTTTGCTCTTGAAAGGCTTCCCGAGTGGCTAAGATGGTACAGAGGCTGCCTGCAGTGTAGGACACCTGGGTCTGATTCCTGGGCTGGGATGATCCCCTGGAAAAGGGCATGGCAACCCACTCCAGTATTGTTGCCTGGAGAATCCCATGGACAGAGGATCCTGGTGGCTACAGTTCATGGGGTTGAAAAGTCGGACATGACTGAGCAACAGCATGCCTGCTGGGAGCCTCACCCGCACGTAGGACCTGGGCTCCACACAGTCACTGCCACCCTCATGGATGTCAAGTCCACTAATCCTGCTCCCTCTTCTCTAGCTGTGGCGGAAGTTTGCTCGTCTGGCCTGTAACTTTGTGGTCATCTTCATCCCCTGGGAAATGAGGATAAAGAGAATCGAAAGTAAGTGCTGGCACTTGGAGGAGTGGGGTGGGAGGCAGTGCTGGTGGCAGCCAGCAGTGAGGTCTGAGATGGGTCTGGGGCAGACTGGTTCCTACGCTGGGCAGTCAGGGCCCTTGTACACACAGTGCTGACTGAGGCTGCCTAGGGGTCTCTGGAGGCGGAGACACAGTGCTTGTCTGTCCCTACCACCTCCCAGGCTAAAAACAGCCCCACATTCCGCTGGGGCTCTGTCAGTTATCTGTCAGTTCATGCCTTAGACACAATATAAACCCAGAAACAATAGGGAGGAAAAACTGTTAGATGAATAGAAGGATAACATGGGTGACTGCAAAACAGAACGCAAAGATCAACATTTTGAGAGAGGTGACTGTACTCATTTAGAAAAATACACCCCCCCCCAATTAAATCAATCACAGTAACATTTGCAAGCACACACACAGGGGGACTTCCCTGGTGGTTCAGTGGTTAAGAATTTAACACTCCCAACACAGGGGTCATGGGTTTGATCCCTGCTCAGGGAACTAAGATCCCAAATGCTGCACAGCACAGATGAGATAAATAAATGTTTAAAAGAATAAAAACCCACACAGTAAAAACACACAAATGCAACACACAGGAATAAATATAACCAGAAGTCTGAAATGAAAACTAAAATTTGATCATGAGATATTTAAAACTTTTTGTGAAGAGACATAGAATGATTTAATATTTGGGAGGTACTGATTTTCTCAATATCAATTTGTAAGTTTTAATGCAATTTCAATAAAATTACAATACAGTGTGTTTTGTGTATTACTCATAGAGAAAAAAAAAACTAACTGAAAACCTTTTTAAAAGGAAAAACTCAAATGAACTTGTATAACCAAAATGTTAAATAAAATACGTTATAGAAACTACAGGAGGCTACAGGAGACATAATTGATGCTGGAACAATTGATGAAACTGTTTTAAAGAATAACCTAGATCTTTCACTTTAAAGCTCCATTAGGTCAGTTCAGATGCTGAGTAGTGTTCAACTCTTTGCCACCCCATGGACTGCAGCACACCAGGCTTCCCTGTCCACCACCAACTCCCAGAGCTTGCTCAAACTCATGCCCACCAAGTCGGTGATGCCATCCAACCATCTCATCCTCTGTCATCCCCTTCTCCTCCTGCCTTCAATCTTTCCCAGCATCAGGGTCTTTTCCAATGAGTCAGTTCTTCCCATCAGGTGGCCAAATTATTGGAGTTTCAGAACATCAGTCCTTCCAATGAACACTCAGGACTGATCTCCTTTAGGATGGACTGGTTGGATCTCCTTGCAGTCCAAGGCACTCTCAAGAGTCTTCTCCAACACCACAGTTCAAAAGCACCCATTTTTCGGCACCCAGCTTTCTTTATAGTCCAACTCTGACATCCATACATGACCACTGGAAGAACCATAGTTTTGACTAGATGGACCTTTGTCGGTAATGTGCTGCTTTTTAATATGCTGTCTAGATTGCTCATAGCTTTTCTTCCAAGGAGCAAGCGTCTTTTAATTTCATGGCTGCAGTCACCATCTGCAGTGATTTTGGAGCCCAAGAAAATAAAGTCTCTCACTGTTTGCATTGTTTCCCCATCTATTTGCCATCAAGTGATAGCACCAGATGCCAAGATCTTAGTTTTCTGAATGTTGAATTTTAAGCCAACTTTTTCATTCTCTTTCACTTTCATCAAAAAGCTCTTTAGTTGTTCTTCTCTTTCTGCCTTAAGGGTGGTGTCAACTGCATATCTAAGTTTATTGATATTTCTCCCGGTAATCTTGATTGCAGCTTGTGCTTCAACCAGCCTGGGATTTCTCATGATGTACTCTGCATATAAGTTAAATAAGCAGGGTGACAATATGCAGCCTTGACTTACTCCTTTCCCTATTTGGAACCAGTCTGTTTTTGCGTGTCCAGTTCTAACTGCTGCTTCTTGACCTGAATACAGATTTCTCAGAAGTCAGGTCAGGTGATCTGGTATTCCCATCTCTTAAAGATTTTCCATAGTTTGTTGTGATCCACACAGTCAAAGGTTTTGGCATGGTCAATAAAGCAGAAGAAATAGATGTTTTTCTAGAACTCTCTTTCTTTTTTGATGATTCAATGGATGTTGGCAATTTGATTTCTCGTTCCTCTCCCTTTTTTAAATCCAGCTTGAACATCTGGAAGTTCACGGTTCGTGTACTGTTGAAGCCTGGGTTGGAGAATTTTGAGCATTACTTTGCTAGCCTGTGAGATGTGTGCATTTCTGTGGTAGTCTGAACATTCTTTGGCATTGCCTTTCCTTGGGATTGGAATGAAAACTGACCTTTTCCAGTCCTGTGGCCACTGCTGAGTTTTCTAAATTTGCTGGCACATTGAGTGCAGCACTTTCACAGTGTCATCTTTTAAGATTTGAAATAGCTCAACTGGAATACCATCATCTTCACTAGCTTTGTTCGTAGTAACATTACCTAAGGCCCACTTGACTTTGCATTCCAGGACATCTGGCTCTAGGTGAGGGATCACACCACCATGCTTATCTGGGTCATGAAGATATTTTTTTGTACAGTTCTTCTGTGTATTCTTGCCACCTCTTCTTAATATCTTCTGCTTCTGTTAGGTCCATACCATTTCTGTCCTTTATTGTGCCTATCTTTGCACGAAATGTTCCCTTGGTATCTCTAATTTTTTTGAAGAGATCTCTAGTCTTTCCCATTCTATTGTCTTCCTCTATTTCTTTGTATTGATCACTGAGGAAGGCTTTTTTTTTAATCTCTTCTTGCTATTCTTTGGAGCTCTGCATTCAAATGGGTATATTTTTCCTTTTCTCCTTTGCCTTTCCCTTGTCTTCTTTTCACAGCTTTTTTTAAGGCCTCCTCAGACAACCATTTTGCCTTTTTGTATTTTTTTTCTTGAGGATGATCTTGATCACTGTCTCCTGTACAATGTCATGATCCTCCATCCGTAGTTCTTCAGGCACATTGTCTAACAGATCTAATCCCTTGGATCTATTTGTCACTTCCACTGTATAATCGTAAGGGATTTGATTTAAATAGGAAACCATGAGGGAATAAAAGAAATACAAGTAATGTGATGTCAGAATGGAAGCCTGTCAAATTCTGAAAGTAAAGAAGGAATCATCCAAGAAAGTACTGTTATATTTAATTACACATAAAAGTAATTTTACATACATAAAAAATAGAGGTAAAAGTTAGATGACAAATTGAGGAGGGGAAAAGTATTTTTAACATTTAAGTGATATTAATCCCTTTCGTACCAGTGATAGAAATGTCCATTGGGATGCTATTTCTAGGGGAAAGTGGTAATTTGAACCAAACACCTTCAAAATGTTTATACTATTTGATAGAACCCTTCCATTCCCTAACAACCAGAGGAAACAGCAGCCACAACAAAATCAGTCACACTTGGTCCCCTGCCCAGATCCCTTTACTTGTCTGGTCCACCCTTTTTCAGCTGTTCCAAGTGCTGGCTGCTATGTCTTCTGGCCACTCCCTTCTCTCGAGGATTAGTCTTGGCCCACATTGTTCCAGATGTTGGGCACTCATATCCATCAAGTTGGTGATGCCATCCTACCATCTCATCCTCTGTCATTCCCTTCTCCTCCTGCCTTCATTCTTTCCCAGCATCAGGGTCTTTTCCAATGCGTCAGTTCTTCCCATCAGGTGGCCAAAGTATTGTAGTTTCAACTTTAGCATCAGTCCTTCCAATGAATATTCAGGACTGATTTCCTTTAGGATGGACTGGTTGGATCTCCTTGCAGCCCAAGGGACTAAGAACCTTCTCCAATACCACTGTTCAAAACATCAACTCTTCATCACTCAGCTTTCTTTATAGTTCAGCTCTCACATCCATACTTGTCCACTGGAAAAACCATAGTTTTGACTAGATGGACCTTTGTTGGCAAAGTAATGCCTCTGCTTTTTATTTTTTATTTATGTTTTTTTTAGAGGCTTGTCTTTTATTGAATGAGTGATCTATGCAACTGCCGAGGCCACTATGTACAGAGAAGAGGGGGAGAACTTTATTTCTTGGTCTCTTCCTCCTTGGACAGAGTCTTGATGATTTCCTCCTTCTTGGCCTGGAGCCGCTCTTCCCGGCGCTTGCGGGCTTCCTTGGTCTTAGACCTGCGGGCCTCAGCCTGGTCCGCCAGAAGCTTCTTGCGAGCCTTGTCTGCCTTCAGCTTGTGGATATGTTCCATGAGAATCCGTTTGTTTTTGACCACGTTACCCTTCATTTTAAGGTACAGGCTGTGATACATGTGGCAGTCAATCTTCTTAGATTCACGGTATCGTCTGAGCAGCCGGCTCAGAATTCTCATCCTCCTCATCCAGGTTACCTTCTCAGGCATTCGAGCATTGGCAGTACCCTTTCGCTTACCTATACCCATATGCCTGCCCTTCCGGCGAGCCAAGGTATTTTTCCGGCATCGAGCCCGGGAATGGACAGTCACAGGCTTCCGGATGATCAGCCCATCTTTGATCAGCTTCTGGATCTGCTGGCCCCAAGAACTCACGGGAGTTGGCATTGGCAATTTCATTAGTCTCACTGGGGTCCAACCAGACCTTCTTTTTGCCACAGCGAAGGACGCTGGAGGCAAACCTCTTCTGAAGCCTGAGCATACTCGTGGCCGCGGCCGCAGCGGCGAAAGGCTGCCTCTGCTTTTTAATATGCTGTCTAGGTTGGTCATAGATTTTCTTCCAAGGAGCAAGCGTCTTTTAATTGCATGGCTGCAGTCACCATTTGCAGTGATTTTGGAGTAAAAAAAAAAAATTCTCTCACTGTTTCCCCATCTATTTGCCATGAAGTGATGGAACCAGATGCCATGATCTTAGTTTTCTGAATGTTGAGTTTTAAGCCAACTTTTTTACTCTCCTCCTTCACTTTCATCAAGAGGCTCTTTAGTTCTTCTCTTTCTGCCATGAGGGTGGTATCATCTGCATATCTGAAGTTATTGATATTTTTCCTGGTTATCTTGACTCCAGCTTGTGCTTTATCCAGCCCAGCACTTCACATGCTATACTCTGCATGTAAGTTAAATAAGCAGGGTGAAAATGTACAGCCTTGACGTACTCCTTTCCTGATTAGGAGCCAGTCTGTTGTTCCATGTCCAGTTCTAACTGTTACTTCCTGACTTGCATACAGATTTCTCAGGAATCAGGTCAGGTGGTCTGGTATTTCCATCTCTTTAAGAATTTTCCACAGTTTGTTGTAATTCACACAGTCAAAGGCTTTGGTGTAGTCAATAAAGCAGAAGTAGATGTTTTTCTGGAACTCTCTTGTTTTTTCGATGATCCAACAGATGTTGGCAATTTGATCTCTGGTTCCTCTGCCTTTTCTCAATCCAGCTTGAACATCTGGAAGTTCATGGTTCATGTACTGTTGAAGCCTGGATTGGAGAATTTTGAGCAATACTTTGCTAGCATGTGAGATGAGTGAAATCGTGCAGTCATCTGAACATTCTTTGGCATTGCCTTTCTTTGAGATATATATATCATGTTAGTTGAACCCTTTTCTCAGGCTCTGCTTTTAGGAAGTCTGACCTTAGAAACTGATTTCTGCAGAATCATTTATGCTAGCAAATACTCTACCTAGTGAAAAGTTAGAAACCTCCAAAGAGTCAGGGAGTGGGGTTTAAGTTAAATAAATTATGTAAAATTCATTGGATGGAACAATAAAATTCATTTTATAGGGAAATATTTCATATGAGAAAATGTTTATAATAGATTGTTAACCCTAGATGTGTAGAGATATGACAGTTTTATACCAAAAAATACACATATGGTTGACACATATGGATGACAATGGATGGTTCCACTAAAAATTACTAGAAAGTAATTCTAGTAGTGATTTTAATTTAGTAGCCTTGGAGTAGGTGACTTTTTTTTTGCTTTCTTTGTGATGTTTTGTGTTTTCCTACTTATTATGAAACATAAGCTAGATTTGAAATAAAATTTCAAGATGCTACTTTTCCAAAGTATGATACAAGTCCACCTGCTCCAGAAGATCATCACAAGTGACACCTACATCCCCATCCAACTTTCTCTAAGCCCCCTTGTTTTCTCAATAGAAATTTGTTTTTATTCATTTTTTGGCCACGTTGCAGGGCACGTGGGAACCTCAGTTCCAGGACCAGGGAGTGGTCCACCTACCACCTGTCACCTTCCACTGTGCCACTTGCAGTGGAAGTAGGGAGTCTTAACCATTAGACCACTAGGGAAGTCCCAGAAATTTGCTTTTAAATGCACTTTTTATTTTAGAATAAGTTTAGATGTATGGAAAAGTGGCAAGGGGAATTCTTATAATCCCTTTGACCACTTTTCCCTAATGTTAACATTTAACACACTGTTATTTCTTTTGAAATTAAGACAAAAGAATCCTTACAATATCCTTGGAATTTTCCTAACTATGCAAAGTGAAAAAGAAATCTTTTAAATCCTCAAAAATAGGCCGATATTTCTGAACATAGGTGGAATATAAATCTGATAAAAGCATTTTAGATCCATATGATATTAGGGAAAGTATGACATTAGGGATTAAGGATGTATGTGTGTAACTGGTAGGTATTAAGGAATGTGTTAATCCTTCTGAATGATCATCATGGGTCAACACCCTGACAGGGACATTATTGCATTCTTAGTCTATGCCCTGCTGATATAAGAAAAAAAATCAGTGTTGCTTTACAGAGAACTTCTTGCACTGGGGGGATCTTCTTTAAACTGTGCTCCTTACCTTGTCTTTCTTTAGGTCATTTTGGATCTGGTGTTGCCTCTTATTTCATATTCTTGAGATGGTTATTTGGAATCAATATTGTGCTCATGATTATGACAGGTGCTTTTATTGTTCTTCCAGAGGTAAGAACTATATCAGGAGAGTTTAAAAGTGCCATTTGTTATAATGAAGAGATGTTTAAAGCTGTAGTATAAGACAGGCACCCTCATTATCCTCGTGGGAAGGATAATCTGTGTGTCCAAACAGGGCTTGGTGAACTTTTTTCAGTAAAGGGCCAGATAGTAAATATTTCAGTCTTTGTGGGCTTCTTAAATTTGCCACATCATACAAAAGTAACTAATAAGCCCTAGATCACTAGTAAGTATGGCTGCATTCTGATAAAATTTTATTTATGAGTACTGAGTCACTCAGTCGTGTCTGACTCTTTGCGACCCCATAGACTGTAGCCCCCGGACTCCTCTGTCCATGGGATTCTCTAGGCAAGAATACTGGAGTGGATAGCCATTCCCTTCTCCAGGGGATCTTCCTGACCCAGGGATTGAACCCAGGTCTCCTGCATAGCATACAGATTCTTTACCATCTGAGCCACCTGGGAAGCAATTTTGGATTTTTTTCCAACCATTTAAAAATGTGCAATGGTCTCCCCAGGTGGTTCAGTGGTAAAGAATCCAACTGTCAAGCAGGAGATGTGGAGTTGATTCCTGGGTTGGGAAGATCCTCCAGAGAAGAAAAATGGCAACCAACTCCAGTATTCTTGCCTGGGAAATCCCAAGGGCAGAGGAGCCTGGGGGTCTATAGTCCATGGGGTCGCAAAGAGTTGGATATGACTTAGCCACTAAACCACCACCACTCAAACCTTCCTTAGCTCTTGGGCCACACAAAAGGAAGTGTTAGGCTGGATTTGGCTTATGGGCCAGTGTGCAGACATTGTGTTAAAGTAAAATCCATTTCTCAACTAAACTTTATCTTTGCAAAGCAAATGGGACCATTTCCTATGCCATTATAGAAAGCCAGTGGCTTCAATCATCCTCCCTTAGAAGCCATGTCTAGCCTAGAGAGTACACTCAGACTGGCCCCAAACAGGCAAATGAAAGTCTGGCTACTCATGATGAATTCCTCATCAATAAGTATCAAGCAGAATCCACCTCCTAAGAGTCTTGTAGGTGCAGCATCTTCACAGGTGCATGGAGATCAGTGGCCCCTTTTCTTCTGGTCCCTTACCACCCAGAGGACTGCATGATCGCTCTTCCTCTGTCACCAGCTCATTGCAGGCCAACCATTTGGAAGCACAGCCAGCAAGACCATCCCCAAGGAGCATATTGCATCTGCCCAAGATCTGGACACCGTTTGGTCTCTAGGGGTGAGGTTCATGCCCAGCCACACTCTTGTCTCGAAGTGGGAGGGGGTTGTGAATGTTCTAGAACCTAGGAGTCAGAAATGACACCAAGTGCTCTCTCTGCAGGGTTATCTCCAGTACTCAGTCCTCTTCTATGGCTACTACGGCAGGGAGAGACGGATCGGGAGAGCTGGCTACCGGCTGCCCTTGGCCTATTTCCTGGTGGGGATGGCGGTGTTTGCTTACAGCTTTATCATCCTCTTAAAAAAGTATGTCCGTTCAGTTCCTCAAAATCCATGCCAAAATGCTGTGGATGATCTCATTTCATCTTGTCACTAACCCTGCAAAGTCAGGGCATACATCTGCCCACGTTACAGATTAGGTGTGGCCTCCTTGCTTAGTTGTATCTGACTCTGCAATGACTGTATGACCTGTAGCCCACCAGGTTATTCTGTCCATGTAATTTTCCAGGCATGAAAGCATTGGGTTCCCATTCCCTCCTCCAGGGGATCTTTCCAATCCAAGGATTAAACCTGTGCCTCCTGCATTGGCATGCGGATTCTTTACCACTAGTGCCATCAGGGAAGCTCTGATCTGTGAATACACTAGCTTGTCTTCATCACACTGCCCCTTGCATCATCATAACAAAGTTCAGGGAGAAGGGCTTAGGATAAAAAAAGATAAAACAGTCATCATCATCATTATCATCAAGCAGATAAAACCTAGGGAGATGTGCAGTGACTTGAGTACCTTAAGAGTTCACACAAAAATGGGTACATGTTATGTACATGTATGTTACATGTTAGGAACATGATATGACTGAGTCCCTTCGCTCTGCACCTGAAACTATCACAACATTGTTAATCTGCTATCAGTTCAGTTGATGTCCAACTCATTTCAACCCCATGGACTATGCTACACTAGGCTTCCCCGTCCGTCACCAACTCCTGGAGCTTGCTCAAACTCATATCCATTGAGTCAGTGATGCCATCCAACCATCTCATCCTCTGTCATCCTCTTCTCCTCCTGCCTTCAATCTTTCCCAGCATCAGGGTCTTTTCCAATGATTCAGTTCTTTGCATCAGGTGGCCAAAGTATTTGAGTTGCAGCTTTAGCATCAGTTCTTCCAATGAATATTCAGGACTGATTTCCTTTAGGATTGACTGGTCTGATCCCCTTGCAGTCCAAAACCCCAATAAGAAATAAAAAGTTAAAGAAAAACAGGAACATGATAAAAATCAGCAAATAAGAATATTGTTGAAATATGTTTATTGATATTTAAGGTTATGTTTATAATTATGGTTATAATTAATTATTATAAAACAGAAAAAACAGCAGGTGGTGCTAGTGGTAAAGAATCTGCCTGCCAGTGCAAAAGAAGCAAGAGATGTGCGTTCCATCTCTGGGTTGGGAAGATCTGCTGGAGAAGGAAATGGAAGCCCACTCTAGTATTCTTGCCTGGATAAATTCCATGGACAGAGGAACCTAGTGGGCTATATATAGTCCATGGGGCTGCAGAGAGTCAGACACAACTGAGTGACTGAGCATACATACTCACATACAGGGAGATGCAGAGTGACTTGAGGACCGAAAGTTCACAGGAAGCTTTCCAGCTTAGCCTCTGGGGGGCCTCAAGACCCCACCTACAACACAAACCCTTTGCTGGATGTTAGAGTTTAAGAGACAAATTGCTGTCAACTCTGGAGCAGGAAACGTGGATAGACAGAGAGGGAAAAGCTTCTAAGAGGAGAGATGCTCTAGAGCAGCAGACTTTTGGCACTGGGGACCAGTTTCATGGAAGGCCATTTTCCCATGGACAGGGTAGGGGATGGTTTTGGGATAATTCAAGCACATTACATTTATTGTGCATTTTATTTCTATTATTATTACATTGTGATATGAAATAATTATACACCTCACCATAATGCACACTCTGGGAGCCCTGAGCTTGTTTTCCTACAACTAGACAGTCCCATCTCAGGGTAATGAGAGAGGAATGGGGTGCTAGTGAAGTAGAGATGAAGCTTCGTTAGCAGCCCAGTGCAGCCTGGTTCTTAATAGCCCAGGAACTGGTACTGGTGCTTGGCCCAGGGGTTGGGGACTGCTGGCCTGAAGGACAGAATCATGACTCCTGCCTTACATCTGATGCAAAGTCCTGTATAAGAGGTATCTGACAGGCTCCCACTTGGTGGGGTGGTTGCTTCATTGGGCAGGGGCTCCAAGGAGAACTGATTCAGTTCAAAGTAAAAAGGTTTGTTTCACAACCACAGCTGCACAAGTGCAGTGAGTGCACACACTCACAGGGACCTCCTGACCACTAGTGATGGGAGAGCTTGTGCAAAGAACTCACCCAAGAATTTGCTGTTTTCATACTGTTCAAAGCGGGTGGTTGAGTTCACAAGCCACAAGAGGGGCTGAACCCAGTCAGGGTTCTGCCTGTCCACACATAGATGGGGCTCCTTGCTCCACATGGACTCACAGCAGCCCCCAGTGGCTGAGCCTGTTTCCGACACTGTTCTTGCATGACCCTTTCTGGTCTTTTTGTAAAAAATTTTAATTAGTGTTTAGTTGACTTTTCAATATTGTATAAGTTTAAGGTGTACAGCAAAGTGAATCAGTTACACCTATATATGTGTGCTCATGTGCTCAGTAGCTCAGTCCTGTCTGACTCTCTGTGACCCTATAGACTGTAACCCACCAGGCTCCTCTGTCCATGGAATTCTCCAAGTAAGAATACTGGAGTGGGTTGCCACTTCCTACTCCAGGGGATCTTTCTGACCCAGAGACTGAACCCACATCTCTTGCATCTCCTGCATTGGCAGGTGGATTCTTTACCACTAGCGCCACCTGGGGGAAGCTTACATATACACATGTTCACAGATTGTTTTCCAATATAGGCAATTACAGAGATTGAGTAGCATTCCCTGTGGTATGCAGCAGATCCTTATTAATTACCTGTTTTATATATATCAATGTGTATGTGTCAATCCCAGTGTTCCAGTTTATCCCCTCCCCCACTCTTATCCCACCCCCAGTAACCCTAAGTTTATGTTATACATCTTAACTCTGCTTTGGTTTTGTAGGTAAGTTCATTTGTAGGTTTTTTGTTTTTTAAGATTCCACATAGAAGTGATATCATATGATATTTGTCTTTACCTGACCTACTTCACTTAGTATGAGGATCTCTAGTTGTATCCATGTTACTGCAAATGGCATTGTTATTCTTTTTATGGTTGAGTAATACTCCATTGTTTATACACACCACATATTCATCTATTCCTCTGTTGGTGGATGTTTAGGTTGCTTCCATGTGCTGGCTGTTGTGAGTGGTGCTGCAGTGAACATTGGGGGCATGTGTCTTTTTTGAATTACGTTTTCTCTGGTCCTCTCGTGCAGGATGGCTAAGAACTCCCGCACGAGCCTCGCCAGCGCTTCCAGTGAAAACTACACGTTCTGCTGGCGGGTGTTCTGCGCTTGGGATTACCTCATTGGCAACCCAGAGGCGGCAGAGAGCAAAACCGCAGCCATCGTGAACAGCATCAGGGTGAGTTAGGGAGCCGTCCAGGCTGCCAGGAGTCGGGGCTCTGCAGACCACAGCCTTTACAGCAAGAGCCGCTGGCCCTCTGTCAGGGGTCAGCATGGTCCCGCTGCCACGGCACTCAGACCAAGGCAGCCACAGTCTCCAACGTCACGTGACATGATGTGTCCGCCACATGCCCCCAAACAATCCGATGGTGTGCAGGAGAAAAACACTGGAACTTTAAAAAAAAAAATTCATCCTTCTAAAATTTCCATGTGTGTATCTGTGTTAATTTGCATAATGGATTACTACCTTGTTGCATGCATATAACTTGTAAATGAATAAATACCTCTATGTGGGAGCTACAACCTCTTAGTGTTGACTTAGAAAATAACACAGTAAAAAGCATTCAGAGACAGAGCTCCTGAACAACAACATTACAGCTAAATGGTGCCGCTTCTGAGAAAAACATGATTTAGATCATTTTGATGATCTCAATAATTTATTTCTCCATTTCTTCTTTCCATTCTCCAGTTGCCTTTTTTAGTCTATTATTATACAAAGTGCTGATATAGAATGAAGTCTAGATGTTGAATTTATGATTAAAAATACTGGATAAGTCATTTCTCTCATAAACTATTTGTAAAAATTTATGATTAATGAAAATACTAAGCTTTCAATACTGTATGTGTCTTTCTTTAAAGGAGGCTATACTGGAAGAACAGGAAAAGAAGAAAAGCAAAAACCTGTATGTATGACAAACTCCCCATACTAGAGTCATTGATAAGCTGTTTTAATTTGGTGCCAAAATCACCAGAGTCTATCTTATTTTCATACAACGTCAGGCAGTTCTTCTTTTTTCTTAAAATCTATCCATCTCGTAATGTGGTATGTAGGAACCCTATAATTTTTCCCTCTTTAAGAATATTTACGATTGATTTATTTGGCTGTGACCGGTCTTAGTTGTGGCATGCGGGATGTAGTGATCTGTTGACTATTTAGTTGCTCAGTCATGTCTGACTCTTTGTGACCCAATGGTCTGTAGCACACCAGGCTCCCCTGTCCTTCACTATCTTCTGGAATTTGCTCAAATTCATGTCCATTGAGTTGGTGATCCTATCTAACCATCTTCTCCTTCTGCCTTTGATCTTTCCCAGCATCAGGGTCTCTTAAATGTTTGGCTGTTTGAATCTGGTGTCATAAGTATTGGAGCTTTAGCTTCAGCATCAGTCCTTCCAATGAATATTCAGGGTTGATCTCCATTAGGATTGACTGGTATACAGAGCAGTGTTTATATGTTGATCCCAACCTCTCAATTCATCCTACCCCCTTGGGGTCTAGGCATTTGTTCTCTACATCAGTCTCTCTTTCTGCTCTGCAAATAAGTCATCTCTACCATTTTTCTAAATGCCACATATAAGTGATAATTGTGCTGTGTTTTTTTCTCTGTCTGACTTAACCTCACTTTGAATGGCAGTCTCTAGGTCCATCCTCACTGGTGGTTTAAGCTCATGGTTAGTTCCTGCGATGCAGAGAAAGCCTGTCCAGGGGATGCTGGAGACCTGGGGAGTTGAGGAAACACCAGCCCCTGAGAGGAAGCAGTTGTTATGGGGAGATGGACTCTCCATAGGGTGTTGAAAAATGGATTCTAGCCCTCTCTTTGTCATTAATTTCTATGACCCCGAAATGCCCTTGACTCTTCAGGGCCGCTGCTTCCTCAGCTACAAAATGAAAGGATGGGACTCCATCTATGTTCTCAGGGGGCAGAGAGCCACCCACATGAGGATTACCTGCAAGGTGCTGCAAATGCAGATCCCTCCAATGCCCACCTTGACTGACAGAATTAACATCTCTGAGAGTGAGACCCAAGACTCCACATTCTTAGCATGTCTCACAGAGCAAACCTCACAGGTGATTTAGATGTTCCCTCAAATGTTAAAGCTGCAGCCATCCTGAACTCATCCCCATTCAAAAATGTCTCATTTGGTGATTCGTTATTACAAGCAAACAAATCAGCAGAAAGCCCAGTTCTCATTTCTCTCCCACACACAAATTCTGAATCCTGATTCTGTCAAAATGTGAGGAAGACATGCATATGGACGCCCTGTGTGGAGCCTGGCGTACTGTCCCCACACCTGCCTCTCCCTGCAGGGCAGTGACCATCTGCCTGCGGGTCGTGGCCAACATCCTGGTGCTTGTCTCACTTGCTGGGAGCATCTATCTCATCTACTTCGTGGTGGACCGGTCTCAGAAGCTGGCACAGTCCAAGAAGGAGCTGACACTCTGGGAGAAGAATGAGGTACCCACACACAGTGGCAGACCCTCCTCTGTTTCCTGGGTGTTTCTTATTTTTTGTTTTTAATGAATTAATTAATTTGCACCAGGTCTTAGTTGCAGCATGCAGGATCTTTAGTTGCAGCATGTGGGATCTAGTTTCCCAACCAGGGATGAAACCCATGCCCTCTGTACTGGGAGTGCAGAGTCTTAGCCACTGTACCACCAGGGAAGTACCCCCTGTGGTGTTTCTTAAGTGGATTCACTGGAAGTATCTCCATGGAAAAACTGTAGTCCTCTTATTCTAGAGCACGGATCACAAGGGCTTGGAACCAGAGTGGCAACGCTCGGGCTTGGCTGAATGATATCCCCGGTCTTAATGAGGAAGGTTTTGATTCAAAACCACCCTCAAGATCTGTACATTTTTTCCCTTGGAGTTGCACTGCTGACTGTGCTTTGCTTTCTTGGCTTTGTGTTTCTTTATATGCATGTTTCCAGAAACTGACTTCACCAGGATTTGAATTAGCAATTGCATTGTCTTCCATTGCATGTGTCGAAGTTGACCACATGGGGATTGTTGAACATTTAGGTGGTTTCCATATTTTTATATTTCGCCTGTGCTGGGTCTTCGCTGCAGCGTGCAGGCTTCTCTTGTTGCAGTATATGGGTTTAATTGCCCCGAGGCATGTGGGATCTTAGTTCCCCAACCAGGGATCGAACCTGCATCCCCTGCACTGGAAGGTGGATTCTTAACTATTGGACCACCAGGGAAGTCCCTCTGTATTTCTAAGTCACAATATTGCTTCCCAGAATAGCCTCACACCAATGGCTCATTTTTGTAAAAGTCCTTTCCCCTCCATTTATGTGACTATTCCCACGAATAGAAGATTACCAAGAGAAAGGTTACAAACAGTTTTATAATTCTTACTCATTATTATAAGACTCTGGTCCTGAAAGTTTGGTTTGATTTACCTGTAAATATTTGAATGGCAGAAGTAGCACAAATGCCACCTCTCAGACCACTTCTATGAAAATGATTAAAAACAAAGTGTGCAGGCAATATATTCATCCCCAACGTACAATAATTTTCCAGAATAGACTGCATTACAGAGTCTCTTCTCATACCTCTGTATTTTATGTCAGTTAAGTGGGTTATAGAAATATGTGCTTGTGTGTGGATAGTTAGATAAATTTTTGAAAGATAAATTCAGAAATTATTTCTTCTTTAGCTCACAGCTCTCATGTACCAGCTAAGCCTCTGCTTTCACTTACCATAAATACAGAGAAACAAGAGTCATTCGAAAGTAATGCTCTAGATAATTTTGCATGTGCAGAAAGAATATTTATTACCTCTCAGACTTTCCTTTTCTGTTCTTAACAGCTACACTTATTTTCTTCTTCTATCCAAGGTAAGGAAAGTATGCATAGAATAAGACAGTAATTTAAGAAGGTGGCCAAAACACCAGTGAATCCCAAATGGCATGTATGAGAGTCTTCAGTTTAAGGAAGGTTCCTAGAAAGAATAGGGCTTCCCTGGGGGCTCAGTTGGTAAAGAATCTGCCTGCAATGCAGGAGACATGGATTGGATCCCTGGCTTGGGAAGATCCCCTGGAGAAGGAAATGGCAACCCACTCCAGTATTCTTGCCTGAAAGAATATCATGGACAGAGGAGCCTGGTGGACTGGAGTCCATGGGGTTGCAAAGAGTCGAACATGACTTAGCGACTAAACTACCACTGCCACCACTGCAAAGAATAAACCCATGGCAAAATGGCCTTGTCAAACAGCTATTAGCTAAGATCTGGGGGAGGTTTTCCATGTAAGAACTGCAGGATTCTCTGAATACCCCTCTCCCCTACCAAACATTAGACTATGAGATCAACTGTCAGGTGATGAAGCCTGAGATTTGGGGGTGGGGAGCCCTCGGAGGAACTCGGTGGGCATGCATTCTCTTGTAGGTGAGTGTGGTGGTCTCCCTTGTCACCATGCTGGCACCATCGGCCTTCGACCTTATCGCCGCCTTGGAGATGTACCACCCACGAACCACACTGCGCTTCCAGCTGGCAAGGTACCCCCACCGTGCTGGGAGGTTTCCTTATGGGTCCACTGTCTGGCCACCCACTGTGGAAACTCAGTCTCTCAGGAGCCAGGGCTTGCTTTGCCCCTCCCCGCCAACCTTAGCACAGGACTAGCCCTATGGAGTGTCTTAGCTACCGGGGTTGAACGATGGGAAGGAGGGGGAAGAGGAGGTAGGGAGAGAGGAGGGGGCTGGAGAGGAAAGACCAGGAGGACTGAATGGAAGAGATGGATGAAAGGGTGGTGATGAGATAAGAGGAAAAGAGGAGGAGGGCGGGAGGGATGGAGAGGATGAGAAGAGGGGGAGACAGGCAGAAAAAGTAGATGCGAGAGAAAGGAGCAGAAGATGAAGGAAAGGCTGCCCTGTTTTGCCCACACTTGGAGTCCCTCGGTTGGATTGACCACAAGAGGTGAGAGACTTGCTGTCTTTCCAGATGTGAGATGAACATAATGCTTTACTCATAATTCCCCAAAGCACAGACCCATAGAGGTTCTTGTGGGTAAGTCAGGGGGCATGGGGGCTGTGTCAGGATGGTCAGTGGGTGTTCAGCAGGTGGTAGATGCAGATGTGAGCCACAGCAGTCTGAGGACAGGGGAGATCAGAGGGGCTGGCCTCATGAAACCACATTTCATTGCTAGCATTGGCTTCAACACTGTCTTACTGAAAAATCTCCGTCTCCTCCCTGGAGCAGCCTCTTTGTCAGGAGACGTGCAGCTTTAGGGGAGGTTCTGTTAGGGTGATGGTTGCAGAGGGCAGGGATATTAGAACATGGCTTACTTGTCTCCTAACCCTCTGGGGCCTCCAGTGCTTTGATTGTATTTCCTCTTGTAACACTGGATCATGTTTTACAGAACAAATTTCCCCCAGATCACTTTGTGAAGAATGACTCTCTTTCAGGAGTAGGCAAATATTTTCTGCAAAGGACCAAGTACCTCTTTTTGATTGTGCTGGTCTATGAAATCTCTAAAGAGAGAATATGAAGGCCTATGAAGGCTCAATTCTGAGGTCACAGTAGGGAAGTGACCAATACAGCATCTATGGGGTGTGGCTGTGTTTCTTGCAGTTTTATTTCCAGAAATAGAAGAGGGTGGGATTTGGCTAAAAGGCTGTTATTTGCCAACCTTGAAGTCCAACGGAAGTCCAATTGTCATTTCAAAGATAGAAAAACAACACTTGAAAGATCAGGGGATGGCATGTGTAAACCCCTCATCCAGGGTGGCTCTGGGGAAGAGGGGTGGTCCCAGCCCCCGGGCTCGAACCCTTGCCTCTGTGCTGCGCTCAGCACCTCCTCTGTCAACCCAGGAGAGAGAAGCGCATTCCTCAGCAGCTCCCTCACAGGTAGACATCAGGGAGAAGCAATACTATGATTGCATTCTTAGTATACAGATTGGCCTCGTTGTTCTTGTTCAAAAATAGAGAAACAGAGGCATCGATACACTTGCCCCTCATGAGTTCAGGCTACCATTTTTTTTTTTTTACACAATCTGATTCTGAAGGAAACCAAGGGCGACAACCAACCACTGTCTTAGCCTAAGCATGATAGTCACTTCAGAATCATGGTAGAAGCATGGATCAGACAGAAGCATGGATTTTGTGTGGTGGTCTGCTCATTCAAGGTGGGTTTGTGGCTTTCAGGGTTCTTGTACTCTATCTGGGGAACCTCTACAGTCTGATCATCGCCCTCCTGGACAAAGTTAACAGCATGAGCGTTGAGGTGAGTGCTCTGCCCTGGGAACTTGCCCAGCTGCCCACTGCCTCCCCCATACCACACACAGGCACATGTTCACATATACATATACACACACAAAAACATTTACACACATATATGCACATGCACACACACATGCATACACTTACTCATACACATATATGTATGAACACACACGCGTGCATACATATACACACACGTGTGTGCACACATATGCATGCACATAAACACATGCATATATATGCAGACACACACACACACACACACACACACACACACACACACACACATTGGGCTTCCTAGGTGGCGCTAGTGGCAAAGAACCTGCCTGCCAGTGCAACAGATGGAAGAGGTGCAGGTGAATCCCTGGGTCGTGAAGATCCCTTGGAGGAGGAAATGGCAACCCACTCCAGTATTCTTGCCTGGAGAATTCCATGGACAGAGGATCCTGGTGGGCTACAGTTCATGGGGTTGCAAAGAGTCATACATGACTGAAGTGACTTAGCATGCAGCACGTATACAAATATACATACATATGCATACATACACACAAACAGATGTACACATATATACATAGTACACACAGAGACACACATATACACATGCACACATATACACATAAACATATATATATATTTTTATATATATATATATACACATACACATGCACACACACACATATACACACACATAAGGGCAATCGTCAGTATTGTCAGCATTACTGCTTATACTTGCACTCCATTCTTCGTGTTGGAAATTCAATTCAGTTATGGTCTTCTCAACATAAGAATGGGAAAATTAGTCCCAAGATAGAGAAACTGAGGCCAGAATTGATGGCTAGTCACTGATAAGTGCTAGAATCAGAATCTGGGTTTCCTGACTCTCTTTCCTGGAATTCCACCAGAAAAAGCCATCAACAGCTCTGGTAAATGATCCTGGAAGAACTGCAGGCCATGTGACCCACTCAGAAAATCAGGAGAATATAAACATCTTACGGAGAACAGTTCAGAGCAGCCCCCTCCCAATACCCACCAGGGGATCCACTCCCAGCCTAGGATAGGTTTGGAGTTCATGTTAAACCTGATCCACCTGTGAGAATATCCCAAAGGGTAGGGGGAGGCGAGGCAGGGAAGAGGAGGTTTCTTAGGGTTGTTTATATAAGCCATACCTGACTAACATCAAATCTTGCAGCTTGTAAGACAGCAGAGGCCATGGGGAGTAATGGTTCTGCATCAGGGCTTCGGTGTTGCAGAGACTGGGTCCCCACCTGCCACCTACTAGCATCTTACTTCATTTAGCTGAGCTTCATCTCATCTATCACATCTATAACATCCATTCCTAGTATGGAGCACTCATCTCATCTATCACATCTCATCTATCATGTGGAATAATCATTCTTACCTGACACTCTCGTGAGAATGAGAAATAGAACAGGCCATAACTTAGGACAGCCTCTGACAGTCACTAGTGACCAATAAACACTATTCATTACAATGTTCATTCCTGGACCCTTCCTAGTCAAGTGGTTATCAACCAAGCTAGAGAGAGTGGGAGAGTGAGAGAGAGATGGAGACAGAAACAGAGATATAGAAAGAGATTATTTCAAAGCATTGCAATGATACCCTTGGTGTTCATGATAGATTGTTATTTACAAATACAGTAAGTCCCCTACATATGAACCTTCAAGTTGTGTACTTTCAAAGATGTGAATGTGCTACTGTGTGCTAGCTAAATTTAACTGTACTACTGTACTTTTCAAGGTCCTGTACTGTTAGAATAAAAATGTTTTCTTTATTTTTTGGGTCTTTTTTTAATGTATTATTTGTGTGAAAAGTATTATAAACCTATGACCGTACAGTACTATACAGCAGATTATGTTTGTTGGATACCTAGGCTGACTTTGTTGGACTTACGAACTCGATCTCATAACTGAACTTGTTCACATGTTGGGAACTAACTGTAACTGAGCAACCTCTTTTCTTCCTTCTCTCTGTCTGCAGGAAGCCACTCCCCAAAATAGCACAAGTCACTGGATAGATTCTACCTTTGCCACCAGGGCAGCCCCCGGAGAAGAGAGATGGTCCACACTTGGGCCTGGAATAGGGCTCAGGAGAAACAGCACGTGGGCCTTGGAAGAGGCCAACATTCCAACTTACATCTCACCTCTCTCAGGAGCCAACAAGACCACAGTCTCCACCCGGAGTCCGCAAGACCAATGCTGGGAGACCTACGTTGGACAGGTAGGTTGCTGTCCTTTATAAAACCCTTTTGAGTCGATTTCATCACTTGACTCTAGCAAGTCTCTGACTGCCATTATGCCTCTTTTATAGAAAAGGAAAATAAGTTAATTGGGGGTTTAAGATTGCCCAGGTCTCAAAACAAATAATAATCATCAGTGTAACGACTCCTGCAGTATTAACCATGTACTTGACCCTGTTGTCAGTGCTTAGTCTAGAATTTTATTGTTATCATCCTTAGAACCAGAGATGAGGAAACTGAAGCACAAGAGGTTAAGTAACTTACCCACATGACAGATAGTTAAGAGGCTTCCTTGATGGCTCAGTGGTAAAGAATCCTCCTGCAATGCAGGAGATACAGGAGACGTGGGTTTGATCCCTGGATCAGGAAGATCCCCTGTAGGAGGAAATGGTGACTCACTCCAGTATTCTTGCCCGGAAAATCCCGTGGACAGAGGAACCTGGTGGGCTATAGTCCATGGGGTCACAAAGGGTCGAATATGACTGAGCATACACACACGCACACGGATAGTAAAAGCAGAGTGATGCCCCAAATGCAGGCATCTGCTCTAAAACTGTGCTCTGAACCCATCTGCCTTTCACATTTGCTCTATTGTCTTGTACAGAGAATCTCCCTCCCTAGGTATTATCCCATAATCATGCCTCAAGTGGTCTCCTACTAAATGGCTCCCAATCATAGGGTTTTTTTTTTTTTCCTGGTTTGGTGTAATGCTGGCCTCAAATATAAAAATTCAAATGAACAAATTTTTTTAAAAGATTTTTTTGATGTGGACCATTTTTTAGTCTTCCCACTTTTGGGCTTCCCAGGTGACCCAGTGGTAAAGAATCAGCCTGTCAAGGCAGGAAACATAGGTTCCATCCCTGGGTTGAGAAAATCCCCTGGAGAAGGACATGGCAACCCACTCGAGTATTCCAGCCTGGAAAATTCCATGGACAGAAGAGCCTAGCAGGCTACAGTTCATGGAGTCGTAAAAAGTCGGACATGGCTGAACACACACATGCACAATTTTTTAGTCTTTATTGAATTTATGTTTTACAATATTGGTTCTGATCTATGTTTTGGTTTTTTGGCCCCGAGGCCTATGGGATCTTAGCTCCCCAACCAAGGATTGAACCTGGCCTCCCTACATTGGAAAATGAAGTCTATACCACTGGACCACCAGGGAAGTCCCCAGATGAACAAATATTTATTGAGTGCCCATTGTGTGCCAGAAATGGAGTCACCATTGGAGGGGGGCCTAGTGGCTCAAGTCACAGAAATGAACAGAGATGGGAGGATCCTGACGAGAAAGTGGCCATGGGCAGGGCTGGGCATGGTGGCACACAAGGATGCCTTGTGTTTCAGGAGATGCTGAAGCTGTCTATCATTGACATGCTCTTCACCGTGGCCAGCATTCTGCTCATAGACTTCTTCCGAGGACTTTTCGTTCGGTACTTAAGTGACTACTGGTGCTGGGACCTGGAAAGCAAGTTTGTAAGTAAGATGCTGCTGGATCCACCCTTTCCTGATGGCCAGGCTGGGAAACTGACATGGCTGAGAGAAAACATGTGAGGGACGAGAGAAAGAACGTACAAAACTAAGTTTCCATTTCTTTTTTTTCCCCATTCACTATTTTCTGGGATGGCCACACAGACAATGGGAGCAAAGAATTCTATGCATGTCATGATAATGAACCAGTTTACACAAAGAACTTGGAATGTTTTTTAATGCAGAAGTTCATTTTCCCTTGTAGCCTGAATATGGGGAATTCAAAATTGCAGAGAACGTGTTACATTTAGTCTACAACCAAGGAATGATTTGGTATGTATCAAAACTTCTTCTTCCTGCCGGTGCTCACATCTAATCTGGGCTGAGATTTTTATTTACTTAGACTGGATGGGGCGTGACCATAGTAAACACAGTCATAAGAATTAAGAAAGGACATAAACAGTTTATGACTGAAGGATTTCATATGAATAGTCATTTCGGTAATGGTTTTTGAAGCATTTTGTGGAAAGGAATGATGAAGGAAATAGTCCATTTTTAGGCCACTATCAGTCCCTGCAAAACAATTAAGCAAACAAAACCTCACAAGAACCAAGAGCTAGTAGAATAAACTGTTGGGGAAGGTGGGGCTCGTGGCGGGGGGAGGCTAGGAGGAGCGGCTGCTGACCCCTCAGGAGGATTTCCTTCAGTAGCTGTGTCCCAGCGGGGAGCCTGCCTTCAGCTCCCCACTCTCCTTTCATATTTTTTTTGGAGAATATTTATTTATTTTTTGGCTGTACTGGGTCTTGGTTGCTTTGTGCAGCCTTTCTCTAGTTGCAGTGAGTGTGGCTACTCTTTATTGCAGTACACGAGCTTCTCATTGTGGTGGCTTCTCGTTGTGGAGCATGGGTTTTATAGCACAGATTCAGTAGTTGCAGTGCACGGGATTAGTTACTCCCGGCATGTGGGATCTTCCCGGACCAAACAGCGACACAGGACCTTCCCGGACTGAACCTGTGTCCCCTGCATTGACAGGTGGATTCTTACCCACTGTGCCACCAGGGAAGTCCTCTTGTTTCATCTTTTCACTAAGCCCAGGTGCATGACCATCCATCCACCGGATAGACAGACCCATCCTAGGGGAAGGCTGCTCACCCAGGTTAACTCCCAGCCATGGCAATTATGTTCATAAAGATGCTAAAGGCTGGAAGGGACCATCTGATCCGCATGGACAGATGTGTTCCTGGGGGCATGGCGGAGAGCTCCCTATTCATTCCTCCACCTCTGGCTTCCCCTCCTGGATCCCCTAAAGTGCTCTCTGTTCAAATACAAGCAAAGAAAGAAAAGGAAGAAGTGCCTGAATGTTCCATACATTCACAAGACACAATCTCTACATCATCATACAGTAAAATGCAGGAGAAATGGAGAATCAAGTAATACTCCTTTATTCAAATTCTGTGTTCTTGGAACTTCCCTGATGGTCTGGGAGCTAAGACTCCAATCTCCCAATGCAGGGGGCCCGGACTCAATCCCTGGTCAGAGAACTAGATCCCGAGTGTCACAACTAAGACCCAGTGCAGCCAAATAAATATATTTTTTGTAAATTCTCATTGCAAGAAAAAAAAAACCTAATTCTGTGTTCTTATAGTCCACTTATTTTGAAAAATATTTTCATAAGTATAGTATTAAAATAATATATAACATTTATTTAACATTTGCTAGATATTGGGCACTTTTTTTTTTGGGTGAAAAATTGTAATTTATTGAAACTCAACTCAAAAAATATAAGATGCTGTAGTGTACAATATATTACACAAAGCACCCTCAGGTGCACATTCAAGTCAAGTAAGAACTCCATATCCCTTTCCCTAGCCCTCCCACCCTGGGATCTTAGTATCTGTTCCATATACAATCATGCACACTTAATTTGAAAAAGGAAGCCCCGATATATTTTGATGTATTAATTAGCACCAAACAAGAATACAGTTCCATTTTTTAATAAAACAAAAACAAAAAACCCAATCAATAAACCAACTGGAGAGCTAATGGACTCAGCCAATACTGCTGACATAGATATTATACATTCATGTAAATACACAGCCTATTCTACCCTAAACGATGGTGTGGCTGGTTCTCAGCCTTTGTTCAAGTTGGCAATGGCACTTTTTTTTTAACCTGTAATAATTGGTTAAATTCTTATAGAGATCCTACAAGGTAATTAGTATTTTCTTCTCCATTTTAAATATGAGGAAACTGAAGAAAAGAGAAGTTAAGTGTCTTGCCTAACATCACATAGACAGTGATCTTTTTGCCTGGTGTGAGAAACCAAAAGCTTTTTTAAAGAGTTCTACTTATCAAACCTATCCTTGTATCTATATTTATTTTCCTGCTGCTAAATCCAAATTTGACAAGTATTGTATAGAATGAGCATCTAGTACAAGCAGATTAGCCTTAAGTCAGAAGATCTGGGTTTCTTTCCCTATTTGGCACTTATTTGCAGGGTAATTGTATCTCTGTTTCCCTGGTATTTTATCCCAGGCCTGTCATTCCCAAAAGCACTCAATTTGGTTGATATAGGTCACCCTTTTATTATTAGTCTTTGAGCAAATCACCTAATTTTCCCAGACCCAACTTTCAATACTAACCCCTCCTTTTATTTTATTTTTAGATTAATATGTTTATATATTTTTATTTCTGACTGTGTTGGGTCTTCATTGCTGTGTGTGGTTTTCTCTCTAATTGCAGCATGAGGGATTAATTGTCGCTTAGCATGTGGGATCTTAGTTTCCCAACCAGGGATTGAACTTGTGTCCCCTACAGTGGAAGGCAGATTCTTAACCACTGGATCACCAGAGAAGTCCCTACTCCTCCTCTATGATTGCAGAAGGTTAAATGGGCCAAAATGTGTGAGGATGCTTAGCCCAAGGTGCAACAAAAGTAGCTGTGCTGCACATACGTTGATGGAAACTGAAAGTCAGCAACTGATTAATGTAGCCCTCACCATGGATGCTTAGATTCTTAGTCGCTTCAGTTGTGTCCAACTCTTTGTGACTCCATGTAGCCCACCAGGCTCCTCTATCCAGGGGATTCTCCAGGCAAGAATACTGGAGTGGGTGGCCATGCCCTCCTCCAGGGGATCTTCCTGACCCAGGGATTGAACCCACATACCCTGCATCTCCTGCATTGCAGGCAGGAGACACCAGGGAAGCCCTAGCCCTCACCATAGACAGGCAAAATCTAGAGCCTACTCAGAACCGTAGTTATCCACTGTTTGCATCTTGACCAGAAGAGGGTCTTCCCTTTGCTAACTGTGAAAAGACACTCAGCATTCCTGTGTGAAGAGAATGTCTTTTAGGCCACGCTGTGCAGCATGTAGGATCTTAGTTCCCCAATCAGGGATGGAACCTGTGCCCTCTACATTGGGAGCTTGCAGTCTTAACCACTGGACCACCAGAGAAGTCCTTTCTGGTTTTTTCTTAAGAAGCTATTTTAAAATAGGCTCTCAGCTCATCCGCAGAAGTGACTAGTCTTACTTCCAGAAAGTGGAGGTTTTGGATCTCAGATCTCCAGGGGCTTCCTCAGTTATTTAAGCACAGAGTACACATCTCGAACTCTCAGAACCAAGGCAGACCCGAAGAGAACAGTAGCTAACTGGGCTCCCCTTGTGGTTTCAGGATGGGAGCCTTCTTCTCCCCATGTCTCCCTGCCTTCAATGTCCTCAAGCTCATTGGGCTGATGTACCTGCGCAGCTGGGCTGTGCTGACCTGCAATGCGCCGCACCAGCAAGTCTTCCGGGCCTCCAGGTCAGTGAGTGGAGAGAACTCGCACCAACCACACTCACCTTATCCAGCGGGGGGTCTCTCCAGCTCTCTGCCTGTCAAAATCTTGTTCACCCTCCATTTGCATTTCCTCCCTGAAGCCATTGCCAATGCCCACTGCTCCCCTCCACCCCGACCTTGGAAGGAATCACAACTCTCCTTTAAGCTCATGACACTTGCTTTACAACTTTTTCCTGAAGTTTAATCATCATCTGGTGTCAGTCACTCAGTCATGGCCGACTCCCCATGGACTGTAGCCCACCAGGCGGCTCTGTCCATGGAATTCTCCAGGCAAGAATACTGGAGTGGGTTGCCATTCCCTTCTCCAGGGCATCTTCCCAACTCAGATTGAACCCAGGTCTTCTGCACTGAAGACAGATTCTTTACCATCTGAGCTTTCTCAGCTCCTATATATATATATACATATACATATTTATATGTATATATATATATTTTTTTTTTATATAAAATGTGTGGGCTTCCTGCATGGCACTAGTGGTAAAGAACCTGCCAGCCAGTGCAGGAGACATAAGAGACACAGGTTCGATCCCTGGGTTGGGAAGATCCCCTGGAGTAGGGCACTGTAACCCACTCCAGTATTCTTGCCTGGGAAATCCTATAGACAGAGGAGCCTGGTGGGCTATGGTCCATAGGGTTGCACAGAGTCTCACACGATTGAAGCAACTTTGCATGCATGCATAAAGAATGTGTATACATAAATAGAGAAAGGCCTCACAGATTAACACTCACCTACTTACTATGATCTAAGTAGCCCGATATTTTCTTTACTCTTCTAATCAGTCTGTTTCATTAGAGAGAACATGCTGTCTGAGAATCTGTAGGTGAACAGATCATTCATTCTCTTTTCAGGACTGTTTACAGTCCTAAGAACACCAAAGAGGCCTGCACTGTCCTCATGGGAAGCCTGAGTGGCCAAGCTTTCAGATACTAACTTAGGGCCCAGGGCCCAGGGCCCAGGGCTTAATCAGGCAGAGACTATTTTTCACCCTGAGCAGCCAGGAGCAGAGCAGATGAAAAGCTGAGAGACACAACCAAGGGAGAGAGTTAAGAACCACAATGAAGGAGTCACACCATCCTCAGACATAGGGGACAAGCTCAAGGCTGGCGACTGGAGAGGGAATCACTACTTAAGGACTCAGGTGGGTGGGACAAAGGTTCTAAGATTTTTTCCATGAATTAGGTTTACTGTGTGATGGCCATGGCGTCACCCCTCTCTTGGTTTGAGGTGGACAGATGCTCAGCAAGTGTTTAGTAGATGAGCAGGTTGGGCTGGGTGATCATTAATTTCCTTGGAGTATCCATTTCTAGTTTGCTAAGTTGCCTGTGACCCTGTGACAGACCCTTTCCTTAGCAGTAATGGGAGGAGGATATTTTTTCTGTTTGCAGAGAATTAGGACTACAGTTTCTGTGTTGGTGTTTTGGGGGGCAGGAGAGGTGGGGTGATACATACGCATCAGTGGCAGCTGGCCAGGAAATGAACTCAACACCTGGCACTTGTTTTCTTTGCAGATCCAACAATTTCTATTTGGCAATGCTCCTGTTTATGCTCTTCCTATGCATGCTGCCAACCATTTTTGCTATTGTCCGGTACAAACCATCTCTAAATTGTGGACCATTCAGGTAAGTCAGGGCTTCCCAGATGGTGCTAGTGGTAAAGATCCTGCCTGCCAATGCAGGATACGCAAGAGACTCGGGTCAGATCCCTGGGTAGGAAAGATTCTCTGGCATAGGAAATGGCATCCTACTACAGTATTCTTGCCATTAATAGAGGAGCATCCCATGGACAGAGAAGCCTGGAGGGCTACAGCCCTGGGGTCTCAGAAGAGTTGGACATGACTGAGCGTGCAAGCATGGGTAAGTTGTTTTAGTTTAGTTGGCTCTGCCTGGAGCTACTGACAGCAGAAGGGAAAGGACTCCTGTATTGAACTGAATTCTCCTGGCTCACAAAGCAGGTCAACAGCAGAGAGAAACTGCAAATTCACGTCTTTTGAATCCATGACCAGTGTTCTTCTCTTGCTAAGCCAGCTGCCCTCAAATATGATCATCTTTGTGCTCATCTTAAAGTCCACTTAAAATCCAAATGGGGAAAGGCCTTGCTCCAGTGCTGGAAAGAAATTCTCCCTGGTCAGCCTTACCCTTCTAGAACTCAGTCTGTGTCACTTTTTTTAAAAAAGATATTTTTGATGTGGACCATTTTTTTAAGTCTTTATTGAGTTTGTTACAACACTGCTTCTGTTTTTTATGCTTTGGTTTTTTTGGCCATGAGGCATGTGGGATCCTAGCTCCCTGACCAGGGATCGAACCCACACCGCCTGCATTGGAAGTATGGAGTCTTAACCACTGGGCGGCCAGGGAAGTCCCCAGTGTCACTTTTGATGTTACACTTATCTAGCTGCATCAAGACAGAAGTCCCTAGAGTTATCTCTACCTAGGATTTGCTTTCAATTAGGGTTTTTTTAATTTTTTTTTTATTTTATTTTTTGGCTGTGTAGCCTATGGGATCTTAGTTCCCCCAACCAGGGATCGAACCTGTGCCCCCTGCATTGGAAGCATGGAGTCAACCACTGGACCACTGGAGAAATCACATTAAGTCAGTTTTGATACATTTATGTAACATTTATAGTCTGTCTTTGTATACGTTACACACATACACACATACCCCCATGTAGCTATTGACTTCATCTTCAAGCCTACATGTTAATTAAATGAATACTTCAGATAGCATCATCTTAGGAACCCTACATATCATCCACATTCATCGGATACTTATTTTAGCTTTGAAACTGACTTGAGGATTGGCCTCTGGTCAACTAGCCGCCCCCCCCCCCCCCATTTTTTAAAGGCTCACAGGATCCTTCTGCCAAAAGCAATATAATCTGGAATTATGGTTTTCTTTCTCACAGTGGACAAGAGAAAATTTATGACATCGTATCAGAAACCATTGAGAAGGACTTTCCCGTGTGGTTTGGCTCTGTGATTGGGTACATCAGTAGCCCTGTGGTCATCCTGCCAGCCGTACTGCTACTTTTGTGAGTACTTTCCTGCCAGTTCTAGGGGGACTTCTATGTGTTTGGCCAACAAGAAAATCACTGCTTCCCAGTTAGAGTATAAATTCAGTGAGTTCATTCAAAAGTCACTTATGGAGCCTGATGATCTGAACAGGAACACTGAATCCCATGGGGACCAGGGAGGCAGAGCATGATGGATTCATCACCAGCATTTGGGCCATCGCTGTGGCCATTATCATGGTGTTCAGTGTCATTATCATTATTTTACTTTCCAGAGGTTTAATCTCAACATGGAATTTTACAGTGCAGCTCGGTAGCATCTGTTTTGACTTAAAGGGAAAAGAACATCAAAGAGTGGATCCAAGATTCCTGGCATGATGCACTGTAAATGCCTCACCCATCTTCACTCCTTCCTTACTGTTGTCACCTGTTAAGAATTTCAGGTCCATGGAGGTGGCTTTGAAAATCAGAAGAGAGAAAAGGAATGCCGCCCCTTCCTGGTGCTCACCAGCCTGAGAACTTGCTGATACCTTTTGTCCCCAGAGGGTGGGCTGGGATGGGAGTGGGGGTTGGTTGGTCACCCACATCTGGCAGGGAACACAGCCAGAAAAGCTGAGAAAGGAGATGAAGTACACTCACCACCCTGTGCTCTTCCACCCTAGCATGCTCATCTATTACCTGCAGAGCATCGCAAGATCCTTAAAACTCAGCAACCACCAGCTCAGAATGCAGATCCAAAATGCAAGTACTGTGTAACCTTTGCTATTGTGAATGTGTGTCAGCCATCTGACTGATGTCCCTGGCCAGGGAATACAAGTGAGGTCATCCTTGGACTCTTGGCCCTCCCTCCCCCTGTCAGGACCTCCCAGGGCTATATAGTTACAAGAATACCCAGGCCTTCTGGTGTCAGAATGAGCCTCCTATCCCAGAGGCTTTGTTGATGCCCTCAGCATTTCAGCATCCTCTCCTGTGGCCACACGGAGCTTACAATGGACTAAGCTCTTCTCCTGGCTCTGCTGATGGGGAGGGGAGAAAGGATTCCTCCCCAGCCCCATGTCAAGTTGGAATCTGAGCCCAAAGACACTGTTTAGACTCAAAGACCCACCTTTTCCCTATCTTTTAATTTCTGGTTGTCATTACAGTAAGTCCCCTACATGACGAACAAGTTCTGTTCAGAGAGTGTATTTGTAAGTCCAGTTTGTTTGTAAGTCCAACAAAGTTAGCATAGGTACCCAGCTAGCATAATTGGCTATATATCACTGTTCTGTCGTAGGTTTATCATGCTTTTCACATAAAAAGTACATAACAAACAGACATACAAAATAAAAAAGCATTTTTAATCCTACAGTACAGTACCCTGAAAAGTATATTAGCACAGTACAACAGCTGGCACACAGGTGCTCTCATCAAGTGAACAGGCAAGAAGAGTTATTGACTAGAGGAGGGAGTGGAGGTGGGAGATGGTAGAGCTGAAGGATCATCAGCAATAGGAAACAGAGGTTAAGCTGAGGTGTCACTCAGGCCAGATGTTGATGGGATGTGTGTTCACATCTTTGAAAGTATGTAAGAGCCCCAAGAGTGAGCTCCTCCTTAAATTTGGCCCCTGGAGATCTCACTTGCTTCACCCCAGACCCAGAACCCCATGTGAAAAACTCCCACCTTTCTTTTTTCAAAACTCTCATAAATATCAATTAATGTAAAGAAACACTAACTCATTTCATAACTAACTCATTTCATAATAAAAAAATGTATCTGGGGACTTCCCTGGCAGTCACATGGTTAAGACTGGGTTTCCACTGCAGGGGGCACAGGTTCAATCCCTGATGCGGGAACTAAGATCCTACAGGCAGCATGGCTTGGCCACTAAAATAAAAAAGAAAAAGAGAGAGAAAGAAAGGAAAGAGAGAGAGAGAGATGCAGCCAGAGTTGCAAAGTGCATTTTTATGAAAACATACATCTCCCATATGGTGGATCCATATTTCTCTTTTGTGTCTCAGGCAAACTATTCTTAGCAGAATCTCAACAAAATCTATCAAAGAGCTGCCCCTAAAAGTGAAACTTGCCAGGGATTAAAGTTCAGCTTTCAGGTGTCAGCATGTATTCATTCAAGTCACAGGCTTAGTGTCAGCAGATGCTGTCCTCAGGTGAAGGTAGTAGCTTGGCCATGGCCCAACTATGAGCAATGATGGCCCAACTACCAGCACCTTCCCCAGTCCCCATAAGAATAGTATTTGTTACTCCTTTCTGCTAAATCCAAAACAAATGTATGATTATCATTTATATTTTAGGCAAGATCTGAAGATAGGAAAAAGGTTGCCCAAATGGTAGAAGGTAAGTACAAACAAGAGTTCCTGATGTCTCAGTTGGTGGGTATTTTTTTTAAAAAACAGCCATTTAAGGTTCAATACTAACAAAAACAACAACAACAAAAAGACTTCCTACTGTAGTTCAGTTTTCACAATTAATTAGACCCAATAAAAATCTAGGGATAGGCAAATACCTGGTGGTCCGGTGGTTAAGATTCTGTGCTCCCAAAGCAGGGGGTGTAGGTTTGGTCCTTGATTGGGGAACCAATCCCACATACCTCAAGGTGTGGTCAAAAATAAATAAAATAAAAATGAAACAAAAACTATAACCTAAAGCCTTCTTTAAAAAATAATCTTAGGATATAAATGTTGGTCTGTATCTATAATTTTTACATCAGATCTAGGCCTGTGAATAATCCCAAAACATGCCTGAAGTCAGAAGGAAATATTGAAATAGGCAAGCAAAAGCAGCACAAAATTCTGTAGGAAGCTCATAAGAATGTCTTGGCCTTGTTTACATCCGTGTACTTCCTCTCAGTGGCTCATTTCTTCCTTGCAAGATGCCCTCCCCTGTCTGTGCCCCTTGGGTCATATCCCCCATGACCCTGTGGGGGCCTCTGTGTCCCCCACCTGCAGAACAATGTCAGGTGGGCAGGTCCAGCCATGAAAACAGATTTCCCAGTAAGGAATCCAAGCCCAGTGGGCTCACCTCTTCCTGTCTTGCCCAGCAGTTCCTGGACACACTTGTTCCCATTTAGGCTTATCCAGGGAGAAGGAAAGAACATCCCTGTAGAAAGAATGAAAATATAAAGAGGATTGTGGGCTCAAGGGAGGGGAAAGTGGACAGGTACAGCTCAAAGGAAACACATCTGCCACTTGGAGCCACTGACAGGTCATGGCATGAGCCAGAAGGATCACCAGACAATGGCAAAATTGTGTGGCTTGTGTTCTCCTGCAGAAAATGAATGAGAAGATGACCCAGAAGGCTCTGTTGGCCGGTTCTTTTGTCTGCTTTTCCTTTTTTTTTTTAACTCTATGGCTCTTTGATATTTATTTATTTCTTTATTTGGCAGCCCCAGGTCTTAGTTTTGGCACATGGGATTTTTAGTCATGACATGCAAGCTCTTAGTTCCCTGACCAGGGGTGGAACCTGTCCCCTGCACCGAGAGCTCAGAGTCTTAGCCGCTGGACCACCAGGGAAGTCCCGTTTCATCTGCTTTAATCCAGAACTAATTGGGAGGGATGTGTTTCCTTCCAGGAAAATGCCTGATTAAGAGTCTTGAGGCCTCAGGGTTGTGTTCGCTCCAACCACTTTCTCAGAGAGCAAGCCTACACATAAAAACTGCTGTGGGAAGAGACTGTAGCTTATGTTACAAAATTCCACTGTTTCATTGTTGTTCAGTCACTAAGTCGTGTCCCACTCTGCAACCACTGGGCTGTAGCCCACCAGGCTCCCCTGTTCTTGACTATTGTCCGGAGCTTGCTTAGATTCATATCCATTGAGTCAGTGATGCATGTAACCATCTAATCCTCTGCCACCTCCTTCTCCTCTTGCCCTCAATCTTTCCCAACATCAGGGTCTTTTCTAATGAGTCAGCTCTTCACATCAGGAGGCCAAATTCCACTGTCATTGTCAAGTATTATTTGCCAATGGAGCATAATTCAGCTTAGTTCCAGTTACCTTCAAAAATTAGGATTTCTATAAATTTTCTCAGGATAGCAGTATCATCCTCTTGTGTCCATTTTCCAGCCCAAGACCACATTTGTTTTTCACAGTGTTCTCTGAATTGTTTCTAAAACATCATAATTATCATCCAAGCTCCATTGTATCCATTACATAGATAAACAACCAGAGCCCCAGAGCTAATGGGGGCCATTAGATGGTGCAGCTAAAAAGGCTTGGGGTTCATTTGATTCCTCCTACACTCCTTTCTGGCTTCCTTGGTGGCTCAGTGGTGAAGAATCTGCCTGCCAATGCAGGAGACATGGTCCAGTCCCTGGGTTGGTAAGATCCCCTGGAGGAGGAAATGGCAACACACTCCTGTGTTCTTGCCTGGGAAATCCCATGAACAGAGGAGCCTGGCAGGCTACAGTCCATGGGGTCTCAGAGTCAGACATGACTGAGCGACTAAACAACAACACTTCCTTCCAACTCCAACTCTCAGTAAAGAAATGATTTGAATGATAAAGTTTCACCCATCTGGCTAGGAGTATCCACAAGTGCACACAACTCTAGATCCACCTGCAGGGAGTCAGGATACTGGCAGTGACACCAACCTGAGTGTGTCTTCCTCTTGCCCTCCCTCTTCCTGCAGCCCGAATCCAAACCCAGGATGAAACCACCAAGAGGTTTCCCAAGGACAGTGATCTCGGCAGCCAGTTGTCCTCGGCTCACTCGGCGACACCCCAGAACAACGGCACTGTGGTCAATTTTGACTCATCAAGCAGCAGGAGTAGTAGGGTGGAGACCGTTGCCCAGCCCACGACTCCGAGCCCCCAGCCAGGGCCTGGCAGCCCCAGCTCCCCTCTTCCTGGCTTCTCCAGGTCTAGGCACTATTCTACCAGGTGAGTCATCTGCAACTCGGCAGAAAATCTGCCTTCTTGGTGATACCTTCAGTGATGGCCCAGGGCCATAAAGAGCAGCATAAAAAGCCATTAAGGCTTCAAAGGCCCTAATAGTTTCCAAGGAAGTGAGAGCCATTATATTCCATTTCTGCTGAACATCACAAGGCCACTTCTTCCTGTAACAGCTGCAATTGAGGAAGAAATGAAAGGACAAAGTTTATCAAGCAAGACAAATTCTTCCTTCTCAGCCTTCTGCCATATAACCTATAAGCAAACCTTCCTGCCAGCCTAGGGTATTTATTTCTATAGCCTATGAAAAGAAAATGCCTTAAAAAATTTTTTTTTCCACTGGGGGCTTACTTTAATGAAGGGCAGGATTAATTTTATTTTATCCTTTTAAATCAATATTTTTCTAAGATTTTTAAAAATATGGACCATATTTAAAGTCTTTTATTGAATTTGTTACAATATTGCTTCTGTTTCGTGTTTCGGTTCTTTGGCCAGGAGGCATGTGGGATCTTAGTTCCCCAACCAGGGATTGAACCTGCACCCCCTGCATTGGGAGGTGAAATCTTAACCACTGGACCACCGGAGAAATCCCAGAGGGATTAATTTTAATTTGTGTGTCAGTTGTTTGCTTATCAATGGCAGCAACACTTTAACTCATGAATTCCAAAACAAATTTATTGTAAAGAATTCTCTAATGTCTAATTCAACAAGCTTTTATTGAGAATCAACTCTATCCTAGTCTCTGTGGTTACTATAGCTGCAGAGATGATCAGACACATCTCTGCCTCAAGGAGTTGACAGAATAGTGAGAGAGTGATGTAGATAATTTTTATATAATGTGATAAATGCTATACTTCTGTGATAAACATGTACTCTCAGAGGACGGGGTAAGTCTACGTGGAGAATGCATAAATATTTCATAGGAGAAATAATATTAGACTTCAGCCTTAAAGACTAAGTAAGAGCTCACTAATGGAGAAAAGCCAAGAATAGTATTGAGTAATAAACTGTTTTTTTAAAACTTTTATTTATTTATTTGGCTGCACCAGGTCTTAATTGCAGCATGTGGGATCTATTTCCCCTGTACAGGGATCAAACCCATGCTCCCTGCATCAGGAACACAGAGTCTTAACCACTGGACCACAAGGAAAATCCCATAAACTAGTATTGATGAAAAGCCACTTTTTAAATTGATTTAAAAAGAACAATTCTTATATTTCTGGGATAAAACAAACCTGGTGACAATGTACAATTCTTTTTATTTATTAAGAAACAAACTAGAATATGTTCCTGAGCATTCTTGGTTGGTTATAGACAGTATTGCTTAAGACCTACACCAGTTAAAAAAAAAGTTTTCAGTTCTTAGTCAATTAAATCCCTCCATTAAAAGGAGACAATGGCATTGAAAAGAATGAAATAATGCTATTTGCAGCAACGTGGATGCACCAGGAGATTGACATACTGAGCGAAGTAAGTTAGACAGAGAGGGAGAAATACCGTATGATATACTTTATATGTGGAATCTAAAAAGAAATGATACAAATGGACTTACAAACCAGAAAGAGACTCATAGACTTAGAGAACAAACCTATGGTTGCCAGGGGGTTGAGGGGAAAGAATGAGGGGAAGGGATAGTTAGGAACTTTGGGATGGACATGTACACACTGCTATATTTAAATGGATAACCAACAAGAACCTACTACTGTATAGCACAGGGAAATCTGCTCAATGTTATATGGCAGCCTGGATGAGAGAGGAGTTTGGAGGAGAATGGATACATGTATATGTAAAAGCTAAGTCTCTTTGCTGTGCACCTGAAACTATCACAACCTTGTTAATCTGCTATACTCCAATACAAAATAAAAAGTTAAAAAAAAAAGGGGACACTGCAGTAGAGTAAAAAAAATGAAGACAATGGTATTTGTGTAAAAAAAGTGGTTACTATCTGAGGTGATGAATGTGTTCTTTAGCTTGAGTGTGGTAATTATTTCACAATATATACATATATTAAATCAAGTTGTGTACTTGAAACATATAATTTTTATATGTCAATTATACCTCAATAAAGATGAGGTATATATTACTATACTAGTAATTGAAAGGGTCCATTACTATTCCACTATACAGACACACCATGATTTATTTAACCAGTTTCCATTTAGTATATTTTTGCTTTGGGGATATAGAGAGAATGTTATAAAGAAAAAACAAAAAAAAGTAAAAATAAAAACCAAAAAAATTAAATAATGTACCATAGCAGAGAATAAGCATGAACAAATGTATGATGTTATAAGGAAGTGAGCATCTTTGGAAAATGACCATAGAAAAGGGTCGAGGGGTTCCCCTGGTGGCTCAGGAGTAAAGAATCCACCAGCAATGCAGGAGACGTGGGTTTGATCCCTGGGTGGGGAAGATCCCCTGGAGACGGAAATGGCAACCCACTCCAGTATTCTTGCCTGGAGAATCCCATGGACAGAGTGCACCTGAGAGAGGGGTCTATGGGTCACAGAGTCAGACACGACTAAGCAACTGAACACACACATACAAGGAGAGCCTGGGAGGGGGCAGGAGATGAGTCTGGAAAGAAGTGGGATGCTGAACCACTAAGGCCTTTGAGTCTGTTTGGAATTAGAACATTGTCTCTTTATTATTATTATAAGTAAAGTTGATTTACAAAGTCACATTAGTAAGTGATTCAGTTATATAAACATAGATATATACATATAACTTTCCTGGTGACTCAGAGGGTAGAGAATCTTCCTGTAATGCGGGAGACTTGGGTTCAATACTTGGGTCAGGAAGACCCCCTGGAGAAGAGAATGGCTAACCAGTCCAGTATTCTTGCCTAGAGAATCCCATGGACAGAGGAGTCTGGTGAGCTACAGTCCGTGGGGTCACAAAGAGTCAGACAAGTGACTTTCACTTTCTTTTCACCTCATTCTTTTGCAGATTATTTTTCATGATAGGTTATTACAAAATACTGACTATTGTTCCCTGTACTGTACAGTAGGTCCTTGGTGTTTAAATTTTTTATCTTTTTTTGTTTGTTTTCACTCCAGGCTGACTATATTATTGGCAAGATCTTTTATATTTTAGTTCTAGGCTGGCTAAGTTATTGGCAAGACCATTTCTGCATTATATGGGCCAATTATTTCAACTGTACCTACACATAAGAAAGCAGAACCCTGCAGTCTTTTCATGGAGACTGGATATCGAAAAGGCGCACTGCCCCTAACTTATATGGAGGATTATATTTGATCAGAATGTAACACAGTGAAAACAATATAGGTAAAATATAGGAGGGTTATTTGGCAGGGGGGATTGTCTTGTTTTAAAGACAGTAAATTAACAGGAATTGTCTTTGTGTATATATTGGGTTCTGGCAAGGAAGAGGGATTCCAATAGTCCTGGAGAGGTGTCGGTTGAAAATAAAACAAACAAAAAAAACGCACAACCTAAAGTTTGAGACTTATGTTTTAGTCAGCAGACTTACTGAGGACTGGGCTTCCCTGGTAACTCAAATGGTAAAGAATCCACTTGCAATGCAGGAGACCCAGGCTCAATTCCTGGGTCAGGAAAATCCCCTAGAGAAGGGAATGACAACCCACTCCAGTATTCTTGCCTGGAGAACTCCGTGGGCAGAGGAACCTGATGGACCACAGTCCATGGGGTCGCAGAATCAGACATGACTGAGTGACTAACACACACACACACACACACACACACACACACGCAGTGAAGACTATGGCCTAGGACATGGCATCTCAGATAGTTCTGAGGGACTGTTCCAAAGAGGTAAGGGAGAAGTCAGAATACACAGGAAGATTTGCTGGAAAAAAAAACATGCAGTGGAACATCAAAGGATAACTGCTGGTTGCAAAATACAGATGTCTCAACTTAATGACTTTAGTGCTTTAAAAAATTTTTTTATTGGAGTATAATTGCTTTTCAATATTGTGTTTATTTTTGCTGCACAACAACATGAGTCAGTCATATGTATACATATATCCCCTCCCTCTTGAGCCTCCTTCTATACACTCATCCCACTTTTCTAGGTCATCACGGAGCACTGAGCTGAGCTCTCTGTTCCTCTATGGAAAGATGCAAGAATCTGGGCTCATTGAAATCATTCATTTGATTTGAATCTCAACTACCTAGGGCCAGTATCTTGTTTTTCTCTATTCTGAAACTCCTTCAGGGTGCACTGTTTTGGGTAGCTGCTGATGGCTTTACATTCTTGGTTTAAAGAAATGGCAGGTGACATTCTTTTTTTTTTTTTTTTTTTTTAGTGCAACAATAGAAATGTATTGTCTCTTGGTTATGTAGACTGGAAATCTGAGCCTAAGTTGTTGGCAGGGCCCTGTTCCCACTGAAGGCTCTAGAGAAGGATCTGTTCCAAGCCTGTCCTGGCTTCTGGTAGTTTCTTGACTTGTGGCAGCGTAACTGAAGGTGACAATCTTTGTTCATACATTATGGGGAGGAACTGTCCCAGAATCTGGACAGCTACATGGCAGAGATGATCAGGGGCAATGTTCACAGAATGCACTCCACAATCCCTAGACACACTATGTTGTCCTTGTGGTTTAGTCACTCAGTCATGTCTGACTCTTTGTGATCCCATGGACTGTAGTGCACCAGGCTCCTCTGTCCATGGGATTTCCCAGGCAAGAAGACTCTAGTGGGTTTCCATTTCCTCCTCCAGGGAAGCTTCTCAACCCAAGGATCCAACATGCATCTCCTGTGTCTCCTTTATTGCAGGTGAATTCTTTACCTCTGAGTCACTGGGGAAGCCCCTAGGCCTAAAGAATTCTGGAGATGTTGAATGGGGTATGTGTTCTTCACATGAGAAGGACATGAATCTGGGGGGCCAAAAGCCAGAATGCTATGGACCAAACTGTATCCCCTCAAAATTTATATACTGAAGCCCTAACCACCTGTATTTGGAGACAGGATCTATAAGGAGGTTAGAGGTTAAATGGGGCCAAACTGGGAGGGAGGGGTGGCTTAATCCAATAGGAAGCGTCCTTATAAGAAGTGGGAGAGATACCCAGAACTCTGTCTCCTTCTGTGTGTACACAGAGAAGAGGTCATGTGAGGATGGAGAGAGAGGAGGCTGGCAGGCTCAGTCCTGTCCATGGAGTTGCAAAAGAGTAGGATATGACTTAGCAACTAAACAAGAGCTACAATGTTAGAAGAGGACTATCAACAAGCCAGTAAAAGAAGTCTGACCAAAACCAACCCTAAGAACACCTTGATTTTGGACTTCTAGTTGCTAGAGCTGTGAAAAAATAAATTTCTGCTGTTTAAGGCATCCAGTGTGTGCTTTTCTTTTATGGTGCCCTGCAGACTATTGGGGCTCCCCAGGTGGTGAAAGTGATAAAGACCCACCTGCCAATGTAGGAGACGTGAGAGATGCAAGAGAACACAGGTTCGATCCCTGGGTTGGGAAGATCCCTTGGCAGAGGGCATGGCAACCTACTCCAGTCTTCTTGCCTGGAGAATCCTGTGGACAGAGGAACTTGGCAGGCTGCAGTCCATGGGATTGCAAGAGTCAGACACTGCTGAGTGACTAACACTACACAGGCTATTACTAATACAGGGTCCTGCACATTGCTTAAAAATTTTTCCTAGATGTTTTTTATTATAATGTTATTCAAGGTGGCATTTGGAATAGGGGTTCTGAGACTTTTGTGCACCTATTAATAGTGGTCCTTTGTTCCTTTTCTTGAAGCCTGCTCTTACTGCTATTGCCTCACATCAGCCTACCTTGTAGCTTCTGTTACTGAGCTGCTGCATTCAAAGGGACCTGACCCTGGCTTACCTTCATATTGGAGGACAAAGACACTATGATTTCCAAATGCTATCCTTGAGGTTACGACTGGGAAGTTTAGGATAGGATAGTAAGTCCCCTGAACCAGCCAGTGTGCAGTGTGGTCAGCAACCTGTGCAGATGAATTTCCTGAATGTCCTGCAGGAGTTGGGCGCTCTCCTCTCCCCTGTGGGGGAGGGGCCCTGATGAGTAGGGTTTGATTTGTTACAATATTGTTTCTGTTTTACCTTTTGGTGTTTTGGCCTCATGGCATGGGGGATCTTTGCTCCTCGGCCAGTCGGCCAGTGATGAAACCCACACCCCCTGCAGTGGAAACGTGGAGTCTTAACCACTGGACCACCAGGGAGGTCCCCACTGGACTCACTGATACCTCAGAGCAGGTTTTGGTGAAAATGTAGTGGCAGCGGCCACCTGTCCTGCAACACTTGGATGGCTTGGGGCTCTGAGAACACCAAAGCCACAGATGTCTAACTACCTCTGTCTTTCAGGTATCCATGTGGCCCATGTATGAGCACAAGTGACCTTCATAGGAGCAGATCCTGCACACCTGGGATGTTTACAAAACACATTGAAGATGTTCACTCAGAACCTCTTTTCCGAAAAGATCTTCAGCCAATCAACCATGGGTCAGGGGTCTCAGCCTTGGTGCCACATAGTCCTCGGTCCCATGCCCCCAGATACTATCTCATTAATGAACGTGACTCTCAGCAAAAGAAACATTCAACTTTCTGGCCAGAAAGACATTTCAAGATAGACACCAAGATAGACACCTCCGGGGACACTGCAGATATGTACCACAGGAACATGAGACGGTGTGCACCCCTGGCCTCTCCACAGCTCAGTGAAGAAGAGGAGGAGGTTCCGAGGAGACAGGTGAGCAGACGGGCCTTCCACCCTCGCTCCTTGACCGACCTCCACGGGGTGCATCATTTTTATGTTGGCGAAAGTTCAGGAAGTCAGGCCCTGACTCCTGAGCTCCAGAGACCAACACATTACACATCTTGGAATGATGGCTTTGGGGGTCAACTTGACAGGTCAATGTACATGCACAAAAAAGCACGCTCCCAGAATTTCCAATACCCCCAGCACCCTCTGAAGCCCAGGGCTAAGGCCAAGTTTGAACCATCCATCACAGAATCTGACTTCATGTCAGCGGCATCCAGCAGGGACCAGCAGAACAGTGGCACCAACCAGTACTTCCAGGTCACCCACAGCCAGCCCAAGTGCCCAAGATCTGCGGGCCAGTTTGGCCGGAGGAAGGCAATATCGAGGCAGGAGTTGACTGCAGGTCTGAATGACCTGATTTGTTCAAACGTCTAGGGCTTTCTTCTGGCATCCTGTTCCTAGAAATCACTCCTACTGGTGGAGTGTGGTGTGGTTGACAATGCATGGTCCCTCCCCTTCTGGGAAGACAGACAAACACACCCAGCGGATGTGATCAGTGGGGCATATCCAGGCACGTTGTCTGCTGGTTGTGGCCCAGAGACCCACAGGGCCATGACTCCCTAATCTACAGCAACCGAACACAAGTGGGCTGTGTCCGGGGGTCTCTGGGTCCAGACACTTTAGGAGATTGTTTCAAAAAACATCAACCTTTGACCTCCATTCAGTGTGACTCCAGATCATAAGCAAGCCAGGCAGCTCACCTAATTGCAAAACCCTTACGTGACATGTCTACCTTTGTCCTGAATCTTAGGAGTGACCTGTTTGTGTTATAATGTTCTCTTGCAGCACACATAACTCAGTCCTCCCTGATAAGCACCCCAAAATGAGTTGGCTGCCCTTAAAGATTTCACAGTGCTTAATTACTTCACATTAATAATCAGTTTGATAGTGACCAGAGTAAGTAAAATTTATTAAGAATGTAAGATGTTGAAGCTGAAACTCCAATATTTTGGCCACCTGATGGGAAGAGCTGACTCATTTGAAAAGACCCTGATGCTGGGAAAGATTGAAGGCGGGAGGAGAAGGGGACAACAGAGGATGAGATGGTTGGATGGCATCACCGACTCAATGGACATGAGTTTGAGTCAACTCCGGCAGTTGGTGATGGACAGGGAGGGCTGGCATGCTGCAGTCCATGGGGTCGCAAAGAGTTGGACACGACTGAGCAACTCAACTGAACTGAACTGAAGAATGTGCCATACTGTTTACCCAACTATGTATCTGTATTAGGGCTTCCCCCATGGCTCAATGGGTAAAGAATCGGCCTGCAATGCTGGAGACAGGAAACAGGTTGGATCCCTGGGTCCAGCAAGATCCCCTGGAGGAGGAAATGGCAACCCTCTCCAGTTCTGGCCTGAAAAATCCCATGGACAGAGGAACCTGGTTGGCTACAGTCCACGGGGTTGCAAAGAGTCAGACATAACTAAGTGATGAAGCACCCACATATATCTGTATTAATTAGTCAGGACCCTTGGGTTGGAGGTAACAAAATCCCCAAGGTTTATTGGTTCCTTTAACTAGGAGGGATGAGAATCAAGCTAGCTTCAGGCTCAGCTGGACCTGGCTATCAAACATCTTCTGGATTTTGTCTTTTCACCTCTCAGCTCTACTTCTGTTTGTTGACCTTGTTTTCTCTTACTGCCAACAGGCTTTCTCCATGTAGTAGGTGAAGGAGGAATGCACAGACACAGAAAATTCCAGGTTGATGGCACCCAGCCAATGAGCCCCAAGGAAAGAACAGAGCTATACCCATTTGCACTCCTGTTTCCATGATAACTCTTTCACTTTAAATTTATCTTTTAAGTTTTCTGTCTCGTCCATCAGACTGTTGAGTTCCTTTGAGAGAGGAATGGTGTTTATTCATTTCTGCAGAACTGGTAACTGATACATAACACATTTTGTACTTGTTTTCTACCTCTCACTACATAACAAACTTAGTAACTTAAAACAACACTTATTTATCAACTCAGTTTCCATAGTTCACCTGGATGCTCAGCTAGGGTCTCAAGCAAGGTGTCATCCAAGAGCCTGCATCTCATCTGGGGCTAGGGGGTCACCTTCCAATGTTGTGTGGCTGTTGGCAGCATTCACTTCCTTGGGGTTGTAGGACTGAGGTGTTCTGCTCCCAGGGGCAGCCTGCATTTCCCTACCACATGATCCTGTCCATAGTGTGGCTGTTTGTATCTTCAAGGCCAGCAAGAAAAGGCCTTCTCACATTTGAATCTCTCTCTTGGCAAGACGTGGATTATCTTTTAAAGGACTCACCTGATTAGGTCAGGCCCATTCAGGATAATGTCCTTTTGATTCATTCAAAGTTAATTAGTCAGAGATCTTAATTATATCTAAATAAATTCACCTTTACCATATAATAGAACCTCATCATGAGAGTGAAATCTTATCAGATTCACAAGTGCCAACACAACAAATTTTCAAGAAATGTACAACAGGGGCAGGAATTCTGGGGGGCATCTCAGAAGGCTGCCTATCCTAGGTATTTCATGAAACATCTGTTGAGTGTAAATGGATGGATAAATAAAGGACTGGACTGGAGTAATGAATAAATTATAAATGACATGGTAACAAGATTATCTTCCAAGATCTACAGCTAATTCTAACCTCAGAGAAAAATCTAGTATAAATAATGCCATTTTAAAAATAGACAGAGGTCTTCCCTGGTGACTCAGTGGTAAAGGACCCACCTGCCAATGCAGGAACCACAGCAGGAAGAGAAGCCACTGCAATGAAAAGCCTGAGTACTGCAACTAGAGAGTGCCACAACTAGAGAAAAGCCTGTGCAGCAATGAAGACTGAGCACAGCCAAAAATAAATAAAACTTTTAAAAATAAAAAGTAGACCCAGGTTAACACTCCTCACAAAAACCATGAAAAAATGTGCAGTATTTTCACATTTCTTGACAGTGCTTAATTACTTCACATCATGCCCTCCAATTCTTTGGCTACCTGATGCAAAAAGCCAAGTCGTTGGAAAAGACCCTGATGCTGGAAAAGACTGAGGGCAGGAAGAGAAAGGGAGGACAGAGGATAAGATGGTTGGATGGCATCACCAACTCAATGAACATGAGTTTGAGCAAGCTCCAGGAGATGGTGAAGGACATGGAAGCCTGATGTGCAGCAGTCCATGGGGTTGCAAAGAGGCAGACATGACTGAGTGACTCAACAACAACAAAATGCCCTCCCAACCACGACAGACCCAGGAGGTTGTGGCGTGTTCCAGAGGAAAAGCTTACCCTGCCATGGGAACATCCCTTTGTGGTACAGGTGCCTGCAGGAATTCGTCCATGTGGGTACTCTAGTTCACATGGCTTGGTCTTGGGGCTGTAGCCTAGAGCTCCCTGGGACATTGAAAAAGCCTAGCTCTGCCCCAGGCAGCAGTACCTGTGTCTGTGTGCAGGTAGGGGAGCATTCCATCCGGCAGGCCTTGCAGCATTCCTAAGAAAACACGAGTTTAGCCAATATTTATCCAGGGTTGCAGATGTGTTCATCAACTTTCAGTGAGCAACACAGCTCACATACACTCCAGCACTTAGTATCAGGTATGACTTTCATTTAGAGCAATTTAAAAGATGCAGAATAGTACAGAGACTAGTGTGACAAGCACTCATACTTCTATTATGTCAACAACTGTTGACATTTTATTTCCATCTAGTCATTTTGTTATTAAAATATTATAGATACCAAAATTTACTCTAATCCCCACACTTAGTTGCTTTCGCCTCATGCTACTAAGAGTTCAGCATGTGTCCATTCACCATTTGTTTACAGTTACATATGTTGTATGCATATAACTATATATGTATAAACATCCATAAACAATATGTAAGTATGTCTTAAGTAAGTACTATAATACTGCATGTATTGTACATACTTACCTTTTTAATGTCTGTTGAAGAAATAAACAGATCAAGCTCACTTATTGTAACTGCTATGTAGTGTTTCATCATGAATAAACTACACGATATTTATCCATTTCTTACTGATGGACATTGAAGTCATTCCCACTTCTTTGCAGCTAAAAATAATGTTACACTATTCTATACAGTGTCTACTGCACATGTGCCCATGATGAGTTTGAAGTGGATACTGGTACTTTTTAAAAATTATTTTTAAAAAGATTTTTATTGAAATATAGTTGATTTACAGTGTATTAGTTTCAGGTGTACAGCAAAGTGATTCAGTTACATACACAAATATATACATATATAAACACATATATATATTATATAATAATATATAATAATAATTACATATATTTATATATTCTCTTTTAGATTCTTTTCTATTAGAGGTTACTACAAGATACTAAGTATAGTTTTTGTGCTATACTACAAGATACTGAGTAGAGTTCCTGTTCCAGTAAATCCTTTTTGATTATCTATTATACATGTAGTAGTGTATGTATTTTGGAGCTTCCCAGCTGGCTCAGTGGGTAAAGAATTCACCTGCAATTCAGGAAATGCAAACAGATGGGAGTTCCATCCCTGGGTCAGGAAGATCCCCTGGAGAAGGGCATGGCGACCCACTGCAGTATTGCCTGGAGAATCCCATGGACAGAGGAGCCTGGTGGGCTACAGTCCATGCGGTCACAAAGAGTCGGACATGACTGAGACTAAGTGTACACATATTACTATATATAAAATAGGTAAACAACAAGGACCTACTGTATAGCGCAGGAACTATAGTCAATATCTTGTAATAACCTATAATGGAAAAGAATCTGGATCACTTTGCTGTAAAAATGTTAGCGACTTAAGGATGATTCTCTTGGTCACTCCCCTGCCCTCCCTTTTTTTTTTTTCTGCTGCATTGTGAGGCATGTGGGATCTTAGTTCCCTAACCAGGGGTTGAACCAATGCCCCATGGTTTGGTAGCACAGAATCTTAACCACTGGGCCACTAAGGAAGTCCATCTTGGTCATGTTAGATAGTTAGAATAGGGAAAAGGAGTCCAAAATGTCGGTGGCTAAAAGACAAGGAAGGGAGAAGCCTGAGAAAATAGAACAAAGGAAGGTCTGAGGACTGGAGTGAAGACCTCAAGTAGGACAAACAGCACTCCTGGCTAAGCCCAATTTGCATGGGGCAGGCCCAGGGGGAGGAAAAACATATAAAAGGAGGAGCCAAAGCGCTTTCTCTCTCTCTCTCCCACGTGCGTGCGCGCTTTCTCTCTCTCTCTCTCTCCCCCATGTGCGTGCGTGCTTTCTCTCTCTCTCCCACGTGTGCATGCGCGCTTTCTCTCTCTCCCACGTGCGTGCGCTCTTTCTCTCTGTCTCTTTTTCTCTCCCCCGCGCGCTGTGGCACTCTTCTCTTTGCGTCTTTGGGTTGACATGCCCTCACGCCTTGAAGATGGATTTTCCTGCTA